AAAAACCTTATTGTTCTCGATGCAGCACAGGTGTTGGCAAAATAAGCCAAATAGGTCGAGTCCCATAATCAGAAAGCCGAGTTTTCGCAATTTGCAGTAACAAATATACCGTCCCATAAATTACGGATAGAATGAAATACAGCCCAATTCCAGAACCAGTCCAATAGCAAAATAAAAAACTTCAAACGTAAATTCTCCTATAATTATACACTTCCAGACCATAAAACCATTTTGCATTAAAATTCAATGACGAGAGATTTTATTTCGCATTTGCATATAAGGTTTTCCAGTATGAGTTTGTTTATTTTTCGGATCACCTTTCTGAAACACTGCTCGTTCATTCATAAGTTATTACATCGGAACCGACCAATTAAATCCGAGTCTATTTGTTGTCAATGAACGGAAGGAAGGAGGGTCGTATTTTCAGAAGGGCTTCTCATTCATTCACCTGAACACTCGACTGGTTGCACTAATTAGTTCCTTCATTTGCGTATTTTTACATAATCATTTAATTCCGTTGCGATATTTGGCACACACTCAACATAAAGAATCAATTTAAAAACATATTAAAACGTCCGCCCCCACAACACCGTCAACGGAAGTCTGGGCCATAAAAATTTAAAAACGCGTAGGTTACTCCACAGTAAACAACTTTAACAGACAGTCAATTAATCCCAACCTAATTTTAAATCTCCCGCCCTCGACGGGGGCTGTCAAAAAAAGCGCGCGCGCCCAAATTTGAATGTCAACACTCGTACTTGAGTTGTGAAAGAGTCGCAATGTTTTATGATAGGTTTATTTGTTGTTTATAGGCATGGGTGGTGTTAATATCACTGTACAACAAAATAAACAAGCCATATAATCATATTTCACTCATCCCGGCCCAACTATACACTTATGAAAGCGTCATTCATAAAGCAGGCGCATTGTTTCTCAAAGCTTATCACTTAATTATAGTTTCGACATCCACCGGATATAAACTATCTTCTTATGAAAAGTACTCTTATGTGCTCGGAGATAAGATTTTTTATCGACGACTTTCTATCCTCGACACTCCATCACGTCGTAAACACCACCAGATGAATAACGAGCATCGATCAAAGCAAGCCGTGAAAAGACAGACACTCACTTTTTCTCAAATTTCCCGCCCAACTGTTGGCCGAAAAAAGTATAGGTTGTACAGTATATGTACCCAGTGTTCAATATTCTCATTATGAATTTACATACTTTCATCTTAGAACATTATAGCAAATAAAATAAAAAAACATCTATGGCAGGGCGATTTTTTAAAAACGAACCACCCTTGATATTTCATAAAAATAAACATAAATTAGAAAATTCCGAGACAAGTCAATTTTTATTTACAGGAGCACGCGTTTTAGTGAAATTTGTAGTATACCTACCCCTTTGGTATTAGAGACACCCCTTTTTAAATTTTAAATAGCACCACCCTCATTGTTATTACAAGTATTTTTATAAGTAAAGTATTCTTCAAATAAAAGGTATTTTGACCAGGAATTTGGTTGTCACTTTAAGGTATCACAAATAGGGTAGTGCCATTTAAAATTTTGAAGGAATTGTTTGTATTACAAGGAAAATTGATGTTACAACTTTCAAAAGTGCACTAAAAGGTGTCTCCCTCTGTAAATAAAAATTGGTTTGTCTTGGGATTTTAAAATTTTTGTTTATTTTTCTGTGATATCCAGGTGACTCGTCTTAAAAAAAATATCCTGTAAGTATGTATAATAGGTACATTCATTTTTGTTTTAGATCAGAGTAGGCTTTGGAAATATGGCGAATTGTATGGTAAGGTTGGCTGAATGACAATAAAATAGCCTACTCTGGCCTAAAACAAAAATGAACGTATTATGTAGGTAAAAATGTTAATCTGCCAAATGTAATGCGATATTAATCTAGTATGTTGTTGTATTTTTTCTAAAGACGATAAGTGAATAATTAAAGTTTATAATTAAATGAATTGATGGTGGGGGTAGTGTGAATTAAGAACACGACATGACCTCTGTCTGTTTTTGACATTAGACAGCTTCTGACGTTTCGGTACTAAAGTCAAAAATTAAAGCTACTCACTGGCATTAGGATTTTTATAGAGCTTGAATTACGATTATTATTATGATATAGAGGGTATAAATATTAGCCTCAAAACAGTTTTTTTCCATTAAAATTGATCTACGTGACGGTAAGACACACTTTTGACGTACGTCACTAGCTCTGCGTTACTTTAATCGCATTTGTTAAAGTGAGGTAAATAGCGTGACCGACCTTACGGAAATACGTAGCGAGAGAGCAACAGGGCTGTTTACAAATGTTGAAAAGAAATAGCTATTTGGTACATCTTTCGAATTATTAATTGATCCACACGCATATAATTAAAAAAACAAACTTTACAGTTCTTATGACAATTTTTTTTATTGAAAGTGTGGTAAATAACTGATTATGTGAAGTTAAAAAAAAACAGTAACATATAAGAAAAAAGGTCCACCTTGAACATTCTATAGGTATAGATCCAAGTGCAGTAAGGATATTTTTGGTAAAGTGCAAAGTGCACACTTGTATAAAATATCACTTACCTCCCGTGTGTAAAGTTGCCGCTTTTTCCACGTTATGTCTTCGTCGCTTAGTTGTAACAATTGGGCATATGGTAACTGCAATGCTGTACAGGCAGGATGCCCTCGTGGGTGTCCAGGGTCGGGCTTGGTTTTTCCATCCATCCCGAGTGGATGGGTGGAAATGTTTGCCATGGCAACGACCGTGAAAGCGTAGGTCTAGGCCACCCCCTTTCGCCCACGCTCCCGCTGCGAAACCGCCCACCGTTCGATAATTCGGGTGAATAGAGAGAGTAAAAAAAACATCAAACGCGTGGGTGCATTAATCAGAATATTGTGAGTTAATTTAATTAAAGCGAGGAGTTTACGGGACGTCGTCACCTGCTGCGTAAATTGCCAATTTCTGTCTTGGTACGTAGATAAGCTGTTGGCAACAATGTGTATTTATATTCGCACCGGATGCACCTTGGTCGAATTTGGTCGTGGAACGATTATGGAGAAGAGTCGGAATGTTACCATTTGCAATTCAATGGTCGTGTGACGCGACCGACCATTCATGGAGACGGTTTATATGGATTTGTTATTTAATGCCGACAATTACATGAATGACTGCTTTATTTTTATATTCGGCCAAGCTTTATAAATTATTTATCGGACAAACATCTGCGACCAACTGCGCTTCAATCTTATTATTTTACTCGTTGTAATCCTTTGACACACATTCCTATTTAGAAATACACAAATACGAATGCAACTAGTGGCCAAAAAATTTTACAAAAAAGACAATTTTTAAATGAGCCAAACGAATGGAGCAATACCACTGAGATGTATTTATGATAAATATAATTAGAGCACTAATAAATTATCCATTACTGCATCACTGATTTCAATCTTAGAAATCCAACTGCAACTATTTAAATATTTTATTAAGGTGCTTCACTACCCACAACTACAATATTTGCTTTCCTAGATGGCGCCTCCACTCTCTTGTATTTAATAAAACGGTAATAAATAATAACACTACGCACAGACACGCGGTGTTGAAATAACAACATTTCACTCCAAGTAATTATTTATTCTAAATGTCAATACTGACATAACCCCACAATTGCTAGTTTAATTTTCAACACGAAAGAGAATTTTGCAATGACTTGGATTTGAACCTTAATTCACATTTTATTAGTTTAATAAAAAAGTAAATAAGTCTTATTGTCAACATGATCTGTTTACAAATGTATTAAGTTAAAAAATATTAACTTTACCGAAACATTGTTTTAATTAATGTGGGTTTTATTAGGTTAATACAACAAGAAATGTAATTTTTCTCGTGATATATGATTGGTAAATATGTATTTAAAAAGTGTATTTAAAAAAAAAACGGAATGGAGTGGTCTTGAACATTTTTAGGACCATTTATTTAGACACGAAGGCTGGGAAATGCGTCATTTTCTACTTTCTTCAAAACATACTTACCTCAGTTAGGTACTTCCTTATTTTTTATAAATTACAACTTTCCTGTACCGTAATAATTTACTTACCTCCCTGTTTTGTTGTTTATTACTGTAGGAAAAAATTGAATGAATCTAAAACCTGTTTGTTTAGACTTAGAATGAACTTTATATCGCGATTATGTTTGTTGCTATTATGCAACAATTTTTTCAGTTTTTTGTCTCGATAATGCGTTGTGAAATAGTTCAGTGATGGCAGCTATGATAATTATTCAGCTAACGAGAGAGCAAGTTGTTTTGTATGTCTAATCAGTAATTCATCCTTATGATTGTTTAAAATCCTTGCTTTAATTGAAACTCGTTTGAATAATTAATTTTCTTTCGAGGAAACGGAAAATCATCGCCTCATCGTTTCGAAATGGTCACGTAACGGCTCATTGCAGCCTTATCTTGATATGCATTGGCACAATTGAAAGTTAAAATATCGGTGGCACACGTGTTTTGCGACACCTGGACGGTGCGTAATCGCAAGGTCTTTGGCAACGTCTATGTTATTTTAATTGTTAAAATTGTGTCCAACACGACCGGAAGTGTAATCATTCATACAAGACGTGAATTAGTCCATTGATCGAACTTCGACGCTTGCGCCGTAAAAACTTTCATTGAGGATTTTGCAAGGAGCCAATGTCAGCAGAATGTTCTATTACAGAACTAATTAATTTTAGTTTTATAGCCCATACTACTATGCTATTTTTAACGAGACTGCTTGTTATTGTTTCTCTGATGAGTTTTATTGTAACGCGACCTTGCGGTTTTAACACGTTGGTTTTATGGAGTATTTGTTTTTATGTGTTTAAGTGTTAAATTGTTTTTGTAAACAATCTTTTATGGGCGGATGAATGAGGCGCTTTAATTGCTAACAACGTAAACATTCGAATTAAATTTCACTCGATGGATCTTTCACCCAAAAAAATCAAACACATTTCTCGTATCTCATTTATTATATCATAAATATACATTCATTTTAACCAATTTATATGCATATAAAGAAAAAACCCACAACGAATTGTAACTTAGATATGATTTTTGAATAAAACACAATGCCGGGTTAAAAATATTCCATGTTTTTTTCATGCGCAAAAAAAAACACAGCGGTGCTAATAAAACCAAGCATATAAGAAGCAGGATTGACAGAAATCTCTAATTGTTACAAAATTTGGAAGAGTTTTTTCAGTTCTACCATCAATTGCCAATCGGTTTTCACCAAATCGTCTCGGAAATAGTCCTTACAGGCGTCAATACTTTGTCGTGATATCTGAAAATAAAAAATTAGAACACTAATGTAACCTCCTGAAAGTCCTACAAGGGTGAAAAAATGCACGGGAATATGAGAGAAACGATGGAAAAAATACGAATTTCTTCTACAATCCCAGAATCGGGCATTCTAGAAATCACGCAAACCTGGACTTTAAATAAATTTTTATCTAAATCAAACCCTCAGAGGAATTCGAATCCGTCGCTCATTGCATGTGAATTGGCTCAAATAAAACTTTTAATTAAGATAATTTTGCGTTCCATTAGTTTGAATAATCAAAATAATTACACTGTCCAACATTGCAAAAATGATCTGAAATTTGAATTTTGCATCAAATTAATGAAACCACCAACTTTTCATCTTTTTCTCTGTATAAGAAAGTGACCATAAAAACACTCAAAAAAGGGGACTTTCAGAACTTTTAGGGCATTATCTTCAATAAAAATTTAAACAAATTTCAAATCTGCATTCCGTACTCCAAAAAAGACAAAGTACATCTTTCGTCTAAGGGAAAGAAAAGAAAGATTGGTATTCCACATTTCCTGATCTTGGTAGAAAAAAAATCATAAGATACACGTGCGAAATAGCTTCACACACCTATTTCCCGTGCAAACGATGCTTATTCGCGATAACCGCTTGCCATTTTTTCTAATAATAAAAAAATAATCGCACCTTCGTCCGGCCGACCGCCATAAAAACTCTTAATATCCGGTCGCCGTAAAATCCAAAGATGGCAAGTTAACGTCCGGCAAAATTAATTATTATAGCCTCCAGGGTCGTATCGATGTACATATTAACTTACCCGAGCGACGTTTCCTTTCTTGGTGATTTATATTTGCGATTTTATAATAGTCGCCGCCGCCGTATTTCGAAAATATTTCTCCGGATATTGAAACGGGGTCGTCAGTGATGACGACGCATCTGGCCTACATCCGGCCCTAGCAACGTCCGGTTCCGCTACGAGACAGATACGTTCCGGGGAATACGATGATAAACTGCCTTCTCGTACTGATAACACAATTTTAGGTCGTTTGCCCGACAAAAATTCGGTGAATAATTTTTTCTAAAACGTGGTTTCGACCGCTTGAAATTAACATAATTTACGTGGATTTCGACCCAGTTGAGACTATGAATCCGTATTATTGCTCAAACAAACAACAAAATGAGAAAAACCTATCAAATATTTTTACCCGAATCTTGTAAGAAAATATGGATGTATATTTCTAGCTCACGTCAGTGACGCATAACATATTTTTTATTACTCCCGAACCCCGACACGTGTATAACCCTCGACCCACCCGACACGTGTATCTGTCGGCACAGATCAATTAATCCTCCATTAGCTGAAATTCCACTAAAATAATTAAATCCAGAGGGAGTGTCGCATATGCGTCCCTACATTATTCAAAGTCAACAATTTTAAATTTCACTCAATTACATGGAAAACTCTGCGCGACGCAGGCGGTCATAACTGACATACCTATTTTATAACTTCTAACCCCGTACGATACTCTCAAGTATATCGGAATTTATAACCCATGATCGAATAGTCACGACCGGCATATAGACAAAAGAACATTTCCCACAAACAATGGAACGTGATTCGGCCAGTAGAAGCAAGGGTCGTTTCATTGAGATAAAGAGGTCGGTGGGCCAGCAGGAGCGTCGCGGTGCATTATTGATCCGGTGGTGGCGGCGACGACGACGGGTGAATGGCCCTCAACTTACTGCAATGGGGGTTGATCAATGGACGGAACAGCGAGGACGTAAATTGGGTCGAAATAACAACATTCGATAATAGAGTTTGAAACTTAAAAGATGACAAAAAATAACACAGAAAAATTTTCTTGCTAAAAACATCTAAGCCCGAAAAGTTATAAATACAGAGCCACTTTTTAAAATCTGAAGATGTTAAAAAAAAACACAGATCAATCCATTGCTGTTCTTCAATGAAAGTCTCGGTATCGTGTCTCTAATTTAATATCATTTAAATGATGATGATAAAACAGACAAAAATTACAGGCAGAAACAACATTAAATACTTCACAGTAGTAAGAAACAAAAATATAGAAAAAATTAATAATAACATTAATTTTCGCTTTGCTTCATGTTTTTGACTTTTTTTTTTTGAAAACGCTGCACAACGACACAACGATTAAAGATGTAAAGAATTTACAGCGTTTACAAAAAGATCAAAAAAATGGTGCGAAGCAAAAATTTCAGTTTTCATTTTTTTAGTTATTGTTTTCAGAAAGATTTTTGTTATAACATCAATTTTTACCGGTACTTAAGTCCTAATAAGTATTTAATGTCCTATCTGTATGTAATTTCCCTGCTGTTTTGTCATTGTCATCATTTAAATAAAGCATTTTTTTTATTTTGTTGCTCTTAAATATTGTAGCAGGATACTGAGACTATCACTGAATGACAGCAATAGATTGATCTGTGTTTTTTCAAATTGAACACAGGACTGTGTTCAGAGTTAAAAAATGTCCATGTATTTATCCCAAAAGACAAATTTCGAAAAATGAAAGAAAGATGATAAACACTGTAATTCAAAAACTAGTTTCAAAATTTAAATGACATTCCGAAAAATACGCCAAAAATTATTATTAAATGTGGGACTAAATAATGGTTGAAAAAGAGTTCTAAAAAGTGACAAGGAAATGGTAGGATACCAATATTAAAAGCTCTGAAGAAGTTGTACAAGAAATTGTACACGCTTTCTTATTCCTTATAACGTAAATATACGAAATGTCAAAAAATTCAAATTTTTATCGAATCACCAAGTTCTGTTGTCCTGAAAGTCAATTTTGTCCGAGTTACGCAATTCGTCACTTACCTTGCTGACGAGCATATCAGTTACTTCAAAATGGCGGCCCACCATTTTCGGGGCTTCCCCTGGCACTGGTTCGATTTTGATGCAAACTTCTTGTCCTTTTCGAGCAGTCTCGACCGTCTTGTGATTTACTTCAATGCTAGTAACAACCCCTAAATCCACAAACTAACCACAAATGTAGTTTTTCTTCGCCCAATTTATTATTATTTTTTGGCTCACCTCTTTGCTCGGAACACATATGGGAGTGCCCTCTTTGACGATCCCCGCCTCGACCATAACCCCCACAACGATGGGATCGCGCGAATTGAATACAAACTGAGGCAAAATTTTCAATTTACATGGAAAAACGGCAATGTGTTTAAACTCTTCGCGTTTTTTCTGTTTCAATTCTTCACGATAGGCCATAAATTTATCGAAGAGATGGTAAATAATGTCGGCTTGGAAAATTTTTACGCCGAGCGAATCAGCGAGTTCTTGAGCATCACGCTCGACACGCACGTCGAACGCCAAAATGGTAGCGTATCTGAAATAATAATGTTTTGATACATAGGCTGCAGAAGATGTCACTCACGAGACGTGTAAATAAACAGACACACACACACGGATTTTATTCTTATCTTATTTGGTTAGGATTCAAAACAGATGGATTATGTGAGAAAAGCTAATACGGTAGTTCTGAGGAGGTGTTTCAAGAAATTAAGATTTTGGAAAATCATCGAAAACTTACTGGCTTTCGTGCTCCAACATGATGGAGGCTTTCATCACGTCTTTTTTGACCACAGGGCCGATACGGATGCCGCTATACTAAAAAAGGAAAAAAAACAATTAGAAAGGCCCGAAAAGTGATCTTTTGTCTAAGTTCTAATGAAATTCAAAGAAATGTGTGACATTTACGTACAGTAGGAACGTGTTTAGTTTTCATTTATTAAAAAATAATATAGTACCCAAATAGTACCCAAATAGTACCAGGAGTCACAACAACCAGTTAAAAGTAAGGGGAACTTTGTCTGAGTAGATTTATCGTAACTGCTGGACAATTAAGTAATTTTTACTTTATTAACCACAATTTTAGTAAAAAGTACGTATGTTTTACCGTTTTGAAAACGATAGAGTTGTGAAACTTTGTAGTACCTTTTTTTGGGATTGAAAACTAAATAATTACTCTAATAAATTACTTTTAAGTTACTCCTAGTTAAAAGTAATATTATGTAGTGGCAGTGACTATTAAATCTAACTAAAATGTTACTTATATGTAGTTATCAGTTATTATAACTTTATGGTAAAAGATGAAATCAGAATAACGTTTTTGCTACGTCATTTTACGTACTTAAATTGGGGTAGATATTTAGTAACATTTTCTGTTTAATTTTAGACATAGCTACTTTAAAAATTACTTTGTAGTTGAATTTACTGTTTGACCACTAGGTACTTAGTAAAAGTTACTTTTTGGTTAGAATTATCATTATTTTGCCTAGTAATGGCTACTTCTTCCTAAGTAATTTCTTCTTCAAACATACTTTGACAAGGAATAACGACTACAAAGTAATTTTCATGAAGTACAAATGTGCAGTTATATTTGATGAAATTTAAAAAAGTGTTTTATTATATTTCTTTTAAGAATAACTTAAATATTAAAGATATAAATGGAACTACTGGCAAATAGAAGCACAAAAATAGCTTTGAAATGTTTAAATATACTACATTAATATCTGAAAAAAATTGTTTTTTTGATTAATGATTAGAATTTTGAGAGCGCGTCTGTTTTATACAAGTTTCTTCGGAATGTTTATCAGAAAACTTGAGTTGGTTTTAAGGTTTTGACATCTTTTTGACTACAATTTGCTTTAACATCTATTTGAGTAAATTCGTGGTAATTATGCAGTCGTTGAAACGCAATTTAGGCAGTTCCGAAATAGTAACAAACCAGTATTGGCTATTTCCCACTTTGGGAAAATCTACGAAAATATTTCGCTATAGTTAGGTACAGTCGAACAAAGTGAAAATGACGCTTCAATAAACCAGCCCCTGCTGTGGATGCCGACCCTTCTAACCGCAAGCAGGCAAGATCGTAAATTATTGGATTGCAAACTGACGTAGTTTCAAGATAAATTCCTTTAGGAGCCGGTTTACAGAAAGCCAAATGAAAATTTAGTTCACAATTATTATTAAACTAATTCGAATTAAGTCGCCATTTATTTTGCATTGACAAAAGTCAAGTTAAATGAAAATGTAATTTTTTTAATGAAAAATTTAACAAACCATTTCTTGAAGAAAATTATGCATTAGGTAATGATGACATTGACGAAAAAACAAATCATTATTTATTTAATATTTTTTAACTGTTTTAAAATAAAATTATTTCATAAATTATTTATTTTACATAAAATCAAGTTTAAAATAGAGAAAGCCGCTTTCCTACAGTGATGGACAGTGAATTTCGTCCATCCAATTTCTGTGAATTCACAAAAATTCACTGTAGTTTGTGCTTTATTGTCAGGTTGACTGACATTCAAATACGTATTGTCAAATTTAATCAAATTCGAACATACCAGCAGTAAGTGCGTTTAATAAAATAAAAATTATCTCTCTGATATAAGAAGGTATGTCTCAAAGACGTGTCCCTATACTTTTGGACATACCAAGGACTACCACTTCAAAGGACAAAGGTAAAAAGTAACAAGAATTATGGAGCCTTCTGTCAACGTGACAAACGTTAATCAAAATTCTGAAACAAGGTTAGGAAAACCTAAAGACTATGTTACACTTTTAATCTGTCAAGGAAATTGGGTGGACGAAATTCACTGCCCATCACTGTACAAAAATTATGTTACTTAATTTAATTTTATTATTAATGCATAATTTTCTTTAAGAACTGGTTTTTGTTAAATAGTGTTTTTATAAAACTAAACGTTTTTATTTAATTTAAAAGTATTACAATTACCAAAAAATAAAAGCAGGACTAAAATATTTGAAATAATGTTGCCGTTTATTTCCTGGTTTAATTAAATAAATAATTTTGATTCGTTTTCAATGACAATTGCAAAACTAATAGAAAACTTAGGGCCAGTTTATAGAACGTGTTAATCGCAATTAAATTTTAAACTTGACGTTTGTCAATGCAAAATAAATGGCAGCTTAATTCGAATTAGTTTACCTAATTCTGAATTAAATTTTAATTACTCTAATTCTACTCAAAGAATTACACCACTCGTGGTAAAGGCACACGTGGAATAAATTTTTCTTTTCGCAAATAAACAATAGTTTAATTCATTTGTTGTTTTACATAAAATCTAGTTTAAAATAGAGAAAACTTATTTCGTTCAAAAATTATGTTAATTAATTTTATGTTGAAAAAACAGTTTAAAAAATATTAAGTTAATAATGATTTGTTTTTTCGTCAATGTCATTATTAATGCATAATTTTCTTTAAGAAATGGTTTGTTAAATTTTTCATTAAAAAAATTTAATATTTTCATTTAATTAATTTGACGTTTGTCAATGCAAAGTAAATGGCAAATTAATTCAAATTCGTTTAATTCTGAATTAAATTTTAATTTGGCTTTCTGTAAACCAGCTTCAAGAGGAATTTATGTTGAAACTCCAATCCGATAATTTACGACGCTGTCAGCTTGCTGTTAGAAGGGTCGGCATCCAGCAGGGGCTGGTTTATTGAGGCGTCATTTTCATTTTGTTCGACTGTACGTATTAATCTATCGTAGCAATTTACTTTGAAGGTCCAGAAAAAGTGAACATTACGTAGCTACCACAAAAAATGCTAGGAGGGTAATTTATTATTATTCTTCCTTCTTATTCATCAGAGCATCTAGTACATAAAGAATGTTTTACTCCAAAACCGTATTTATTTTTTTACATAATATTTTTGTTTAAAGATTTCGCATTTTTAAGTCTTTTTTTAATTCATGAACCCAGAAAAGTAAAGTTTTAAACGGTTTGATAGATATTCGATTAATAATAGGACGATATGTAAAAACGATCCAATTTTCAAACGACCATAATTTTATGTTAGAAGTTTAAATGATTGTGTTTTTTAGTTGTTTTCGATTATTAATTTATTTTCTGTTAAATATGCATTTCGTATGTTTAACCATATGTGTATTGCTTGAAATATCTTTAAACAGCATTAGTAATAAAAAAATAAATAACGATTGTATTTATTTAAATAATTGTAATATTAATTTCTAAGTTGCTCTCAGTAATTTGTCGTAATATGATAAAATTGAAGTAAAATCTCCAGAAAATAGTTTCTTTGTTCCAATACTTCTTTTTGTTTCAGAATCGTCAGAAACAAAGACGATTCCGTCTCCATTGTTTTATTGTTTAATTTTTCATTAAAAAATGCGCATTTTTTTAATTGTATGTCGGTATATAGCGGCAGCATCCGCTTACCGGATGCGAGGAACGTGCCAAGACGTTAACTACGTGGCGGTGGCCACCACATCCCACACGTCTCCCCCTCGAAAGGATCCTCCAGACATCAGGACGACAATAACATTGGACTTCCGTCGATTAATAATCTTTCATTAATATTCATAAGACGATTTCAGGCTTGGAAAAAGGGCCGGTTTCACGCCTTCACGACTCGAAATAATTATTTTCGAATAAAAACACAAGTGTCAATTCTCGATTTTTTATGTATTTATTACAAACCAAATGTTATATCGTGCCTTATCGTAGCAAATGACATAACAGTAAAAAAAACAACTTATTACATCACACGATAAATCCCGTTCGAAAATAAATTTGTTATTAATTGGTCTATCTATGATTTGTATAAATGACCCCCAGACTCGTCTTTGTCGGTTGGTAATTCATTTTTCTTGTCCGAAAATTCAATAAAACGTCCCCGATTCAACCCACACGTTCATTCATAGTCGACCTCGACCGACAGAACCAAATCAATGAGTACAAAGTTGCGCAGTTCATGAATGAGACACCACCACCACCGCCGCACCACCCGTGATGTTATTTTTCGTCAATTCCATTTTGACAAATATTTGCGATCGGAAAATTGCGAAAAACAGGAAACCGGACGTTTTGCGTAACTTTATTAATCTCGAGATGTGTTTTTTCTGAAATTTTAATCACCGGATGTTTAATAAAACCGCACCGAAATAGATTATTGAGTTTGTTTTTCTTTTAAAAATTTATCGTTGACGAAGTTTGAGTAAATGAGAAATGTCCTCAATTTAACGCAATAGAAATAGAAAAATTTCGTAGGTGGAGGAAATTTCGGGGTAAATCGAACGAATGTGCGATAACCGAATTGAAATTTCAACACAATAGGCGATAGTTAATGGAGGTGATTAGGATAATTAAGCTGTCATTGAATCTAATGGATATTAGATTACAAATCGTGTACCTTATCAATAAAGTTGACAATGTAAATAATCCAAAAGCTATAAATAAATGTATATAAACAATGATTCGATGCAAACGCAAGGAAATTGTCGACTTCGATTGCTTTTGCAAAAATAAAAAATCTCTTATGCCGTATAATTAATGCGGCTGCCGTTCCTCGAATCGGGAGACACCCACCGACTTCCGGTGCAAAGGCGGCGAAAGATCGACCGATCGCCTTATAGACCCTCGCCGCCGTCCATCTGGAGGCTTCCACACACAAAAAAAAAACCTCAACAGACAGCCGATATCAAACACACATATATTAACATCGAATGTCCTTAAATGGAAAATCGCTCGTTTGCTCATTTTAAATTCAAATCGTGGCAGATGGAACGTGAGAGATGCCGGCTGTGGGATGATGGTTCCGAGATTTTCCTTTACTATTACGTCACGAAAGACCCACGCGTTTACACCAAACGATCTCTTTTTTTTTGGTTCTCGCGCTCTTGTCAAACGTCCCACGATGGAGTATCCGGGAAGGATATAAGGTGCCACGAGATGGACGTCATCGTTGTCTCACCACCTTCGACTTGTTTATTTTTAGTTTGGTGATAATAGTGGAGTACGCGGCCGCGGGGCCAATTATGTAATTCATCCAATTTTAGAGAGAGAAATATTGACAGGAAGTGGCTTCCCAGCAAGACGACGGCACGGAGGTCTAACTGCTTCCGGCGCAGGGATATAATTAGAGGACGAACCAGGGGCGGAAAATTTATTCGCACTTTCGTAGAAATAAATTTGAATCGAAAGAAACTTTATTCACTTAAGTGTAAATTTTTGTATTAAAGTCAACTAAAATATGTTTTCTTTTAAAGCAAATCACCAAGACAAAATTTTGGTGAATGAATTGGCAGCAGCTTTTCGCAGCCACAAATTTTGTTTGCTTCTTGTTTTTGCTCTTAAAGCTTTTGTTAAAAAATTATAATTATGTTCTCATGTTGAAATATTGTCAAAGTTTTGATTTTTATGAATGTTGTCTGCCTGTTTGTTCTTTGAAAGCTACTACCTAATGTTTAAAGACAGAATTTAGTACTAATGACACTGATAGAAGCACACTATAACAAAAATGGACAAAAATGGGCCTCTTGCTACAAAAACTTTAATGAAAAAAGAGTGTCTACACCCAAAAAAATATTTTGCAAAAGAAACAAGCAAGTATTATAAAAATTGGCAATAAATTTTATGTAATACATATATTGAAATGAGTTCAGGCTTAATGCATGTGTTAAATTCTTCAAGTTTAGTTTCAAAATAATTATTTTTTCAACTTCTTCCTCAAAACCCCTCAACCAGACACACTAATTTAATTGCATTCTTTTTCATTCATGTGTACTTTGTATTCTCGTCAATTCCTTGAGAATGATTAGTAAACTTGCTCTACAAATTGCGTCTGAAAGACAAGGCCCACTTTACATGGGAATTTTAGGACCACTCAAATTCGATAATTTTTATACCAATCGACGCGTCTCAAAAAGCTGAACTAATCATGTCATTGCGCTAAACGTGTAACTTAATCGGAAACGGGAGAAATTGCAATCAAAGTCAAGATATGTCCCATAAGAAAATCATTGTGGTGTCTATTCGGTATGTTCAAAGAGCTTGTAAATCTTGGAGATTGCCCTATAACTATAATTTGTGGATGAGGTCCTGGTACATAGAGATTGGACCCTTTACGATTTTAGAAATCGCTTTTGTCACTAATGATTTTTTAAATACAAATTTAATCACATCAACTTTTTTTAATTACAAAATATGAACACATATGGTGCAAAAGTGTTTTGTATAAATACATATTTAAATCATTTCACTTTGCACTCTTCTTTCGTTCGTATTTATTCTCTTTGCAACCTATCATATTTAATCTAATCAAGCTACACCTTTGCCACGTTTGATTTGTTTAGCTTTTTGAGACGGGTTGATTAATATAAAAATTAACCAATTCAAGTGGTCCTAAAATTTCCATATAGTATGCCTTGTCTTTTTTTTGACTTCTGCATACACACTTTTTGTCTCCAAATTTCCAAAAACTGTTTTAGCGGTACCTAATTTATCCCGTTTCGTGTTTTCATCTTTATATTATTTTAGACGCTTTTTTGCTGACGTTTAATAACAGTGTTTTCAAATTAAATCAAAAATCGGAACTATATTAAAATTACCATGAACGAATTTGCCAGTGGTGACAACGTTAAGACAGTTTAACATTTCTGATTAAAAATAGTATATTAAAAAATAAGTTTCATAAGACCAGTCTCGAAGCACGAATTCAAGTTTATAAAACAAGTGGCGTAGCCACGAGTTATTTTAAAAAATGTGTGCTTCAAAGTCTTATGAAATAAGTTTTTCATACTATTTTTTGTAATTTACCCACTTTATGCCGTTTTTAAACCAATTTTTTACTTTAATAGATTGAGGGATTGTTGTGACGTTTGGTAATGTCTTAAACAAACAATTACATCACATATCTTAAAAAATTGGTGAAAACCAAAACATCGGTGTTGTATAATGTACCTATTATTTAAAAAAAAAACGGTACTGGTTTCCAATCATCTAATAAAAATGGTCTCAAAAACTTCAAAATTTTAAGAACATCCATTTGTTTTAGCAATACCGCGCAGATAAAACTGTTATGTCAATTAATAAGATGAAATACTAGTTAAATTCTGTAAAAAAATACCAACGTAAAAATATAAGTCCAAATCTCATCTGAAACGAAGCAGCCTATCCGTGACCTCTTTATTTAAGTAACACGGAGGGTTGCAATGATCTGCATCCTGTCTCCGTGTAACGAGGATGTATTCTATTGTAACTTACCGGAATATCAACTTACCGGAATCTTACTCGTCCGTAAGAACTCTAAAAGTGCCTCTAAAGACCCCAAAGTTGATGCTTGAACATAAACTCCCCTTTCCTGCAATTTGATATTAGACAGCGCAGACTTCAACTCGCGCGAAACTTCCTCTTTCACAATATCAACTTCGTCCGACTTATGCGCAACGAAGAGATTCAAACCGGCGATGGCCTTTTCTAATTCTTTAGCGGCGATTTTCACGCCTTGAGCCGCCTTAACCTCTTTATATTCAACGTAAGCATTCTACAAACAATCTCGTCATAAAACAAATTTTGATTGTCGAAAGTAACTCACTTTGACCCTCAACTCTCGTAAGGGCTGAGGCATGAGTAAAGACCGGATTTGGGTCACTATAGGCCCATCTGTGCCAGCACACACCATAGTGTCACCCTCGCGTAATGTACCATTGACTAGAATAACATCAATGGTTGTGCCCAACCCTGGAATCGCCTTTACTTCCAAAACCGTGGCTTGCAACTCGTCCGAATACATGAGTCTTTTCGGGAGTTTCGTTTGGCAAAATTCCACTATGAGAGCCAATAAATTTCCCATTCCTTCACCTGTTATTGCACTGGTCGGTACTAGAGACACGTAACTCCTAACGTCCGGATTTTCGTAAAAGAGAGCCGCATTTAAGCCCTGCTCTGCGAACTGCACGATTACTTCTTTTGTTCTTTGTTCAAATTCGAGTTGAGTGTTGGAGGCTTGAGTCTTGATTATATCACGGACGTCTTTGCGATTCATCGTTTGCCAGTCGTATAAACGATCGATTTTGTTGAGAGCCACAATGAAAGGAGTTTTCTTACTTTTGAGTAAATTTATCGACTCGATAGTTTGGGGCTCTAAACCGTGCATTATATCAACGACTAGAATTGCGATATCGCAGAGAGATGAGCCACGACTTCGCAAATTACTAAAAGACTCGTGACCGGGAGTGTCAATAATCAGGAGACCCGGAATTTTCAAATCCATGTCGCTGGCCTATTTATCATTTATTATTTTTTGACATAATAGAAAACGAAATACTTACGCCTTTGACAATTCTGATTTGCTCTTTTATTGCGTCTATAGGAACATTTGTAGCACCGATCTGTTGAGTAATTCCCCCCGCTTCGCCATCTTGAACATTAGTCCGTCTCAACTTATCCAAAATTTTTGTTTTGCCAGTATCAACATGACCCAAAACACACACAATTGCCGCTCGTAAATTATCCAAAGTTTTTGCTTTTTCGGCCGCCTCTTTCCTCGCCTAATTAAATACAATTAAAAATAATCAAAAAACAACCAAACAAATTACTTTAATTCGCTCCAATGCACGGTCTCTTGCCCTTTCCGCTGCCGTTTTCCCATCCTCTTCCTCTTCTTCATCATCGTCGTCTTCATCTTCAGATTCTTCACTCCCCGACTCCGATTCTTCCTCTGAACTTTCTTCCTCTGCCTCAGCTTCCTTCTTATCTTCCACTTTCGCAACATTATTATTCGCCGTCGGTGTAACTTCTTCTGATTCTTCGTCATCCGAAGAAGCATCCCATGCGTCTTTGACATCATCCTCGGGTTCCGGTTCTTTCTGTGGTTCTTCTTTTGGACCTTCCGGTTCCACAGCCGAAACCGTTTCTTCAACTGGTTTTACTTCTTCTTCTTCCGGTTTGGTAACCTCATTTTGTTCCTTTTTAGGTTTGGAAGGCTTGATTCTTGTGCCAGGTCTGGGTTTTTTCACTCCAACATCAGGTAATTCGACTCCTTGAGCCTTCAAACTATCAATAAGTGCCTGAGCTCTTGCCCTATCAGCTTTTTGCTTAGCTGTCAAAAGTTTGCCTTCGGCTTTCAGTCTTTCTTTACGTTCTTTTTCTTTCTGTTTCTTCTTTTCTTTACGTTCTTGCTCGAGTCGCAATGCTTCTAAACGAGCTTTTTCCGCTTCTTCTTCCCTTTTAATTCTTTCTTCTTCTTCACGTTTCAATTTCTCTTCTTCTTCCTTAAGTTTCTTCAAAGCCTCCTGCATTGCCGCTATAGTTTTCTTGCCGGGACCTGAAATTACGTAATGTCACAAAATGTGGATACACACACCGAATAAAACCTTTTTTAGGCTCCTTTGCTTCTTTTTCTTCTTTTACACCCTTTTTCTTTTTCTTTTTACTCTCCTTCTCGCCATCTTCTTCAGTTGGTTCAGTGGCAGTTTCGTCAGGTTTCTGCTCCTCCACTTCAACGCTATCTTGCTTCTTCACTTCTTCTTTCTTTGCCATTTTCTTCAACTTTTCCCGTTCTTTCTTCTCTTTCTTCTTCTGCGCCGCCGTTTTCACGGTACTTGTCACTTCTTCAGTTTCTCCCTTTTCTTCTGACGGTTCAACCGATTTTTCTTTGTCATTTTGCTTCTTTTTCGACGTCTTCTCTTCTGGCGGTTTCTCTGGCTCGGTTTTAGGTGTCTCTTCTTTCTTCACTCCTGAATACTCTAATTCTAGTTCCGCTAATACTTTTTCAATATCCTCGTCACTATCGTCGCGTTTTCTTCTTGCTTTTTTTCCCTTTTTAGGTTCTTTAGTCCTGTTTTCGTCACTGCTTTTATTTGATTTCTTTTTTGTGTCTTTTTTAACAGCCTTAACATCACTATCACTATCACCATCGTTAGTTGGATGATCCTCTGATCCACTATCTTCTACCTGCAGAAGAGCAAATGATTTCTGGACTTTTGTAGTTGGCACTGGGTCATCATCTGAGTCATCAGATAACTCGGTTTTCTTTTCTTTTTTCGGTTTTGGGGCTGGTTTTTTTGCCACTTCACCATCACTGTCACTCTGAATTTGCTTTGACCTACGTTAGAAATACACATTCATCAGAAAGAATCGTTCAAATTAAATCCAAAAACTATAAACAAATTAAAATTACAATAAAAATAACGATTTAATAGGCGAAAATATGCCAAGTGTTTCGCAACAAACATAACCTCAAAAGTGTAACTAAAACTTCACATACTTACTTATTAGAGGTTTTAGATTTTTTTTTGTTTGCTTTGTCCGTTGATTCTTGAGTTTCTACCTCAGGTTCAGACTCGCTAAATAATGAAAAAACCGATTAATTAGCTAAATTGACATTTTCTCTCGATTATTACCTGTCGTCTCCTTTTGCTCCTTTACGATTTTTTTTCGCTTTGCCCATTTTGTAAACTTACGTAAATCACTAGTACAAACTTTATTTGTAAAAATTATCATAAGTAAACCAACAATTGTGAAAAATTTTAACAATCTGGCATGAGGTTTATAAAAGACATGCTTCAATTTAGGGATTTTGTTTTTGTCCTTTCCTTGACAGAATATTTAGGGATTTTATTTTTTATCAGAACTCATGAAACAAGTTGATGATTTCAAAAAATAATTTATTAAATGCACTTATATACTGAAAATTACTCGCTTCTGCTTGTACTTTGTATAGAACATTCATCCGCGGCCCCTTCTGTTGGAGGTTTACATTCACCAAAAATTAATTTTTCATAAACTGCAGTCCTTACAGGCATATGAGGGGATAAAACATTTGGATTACCAAAAACATTTAATGGTAATTCTACATCACCAAATGCACATTCCTTATTTGTGTATTCCCTCAAGATATAATTTGTGTTAAATTCGTGATAAAGCCTTGTATCGTTTACTCTTAACATAACATTATCTACCCTTAGAAAAAATCTGAGCAGAATAAAATAAGAACTGGGCATTACACGCTAAAAAATCAAAATTAAAACGAGAATTGCATAATACATATAATTACGATTTTTATCGTGCATGACGAAATTCCATTATCATGTAATTCATCCTCATAAAGCATTAATTCTTGATAAAATAAAATCTTTTCTTTTTCTTTTAATTTCTCAATATTGATCCTTTCCTCAGTTGTCACTACTTGTACAGGTCCTGTGATTGTCCCTTTATAATCATTACTAAACGTCCAATCAAACGGTTTAATTTTTTGGTTCAAATGTTCAGGGGGTCTAAAAAAAACAGTCAACTTCTCTCCCCAAAATTACACGATCTTCAAACCTTGACTCACTCCACTCTTCTGAACAAGCCACTTTTATCGGCAATTTCCCATTAGCAACAGTTTTAAGCGCATCCAAAGCATTAAATTCAATTTGCCCCCCTGAACTGTGTTTAAGAGTCAAAACATTATTTGGAAACACCATTTCAGGCAAATGTGGAATATCCAGAGTTCGCGTATATCTTAAACTTAACGATTACACCAAATTTTGTCTTATTTCGAAACTTACAAGCAAAGTAAACAAGGTTCTTGTGACAGGTCTTTGCATTTCTCTGCACTTGCACAAATCGAGTGTAAAATATGTGATTTCTTGTATTTTATGACCCAGTCGTAAAAAATGTGCTCTTCGGAGTTTACGGGTAGTCTTTGGATATCAATTTCGTTTTTATCTTGGGTGACTGCAGACATTATAACCTAAAAAATGACTGACTTTGAGACAGTGACAAATTTGACGTTTAAAACCGTTTACTTCACTTTTAACACAATGTTCTTGTCTTAAATTGCAAAAAACTGAGTTTTTTTTCTAATTCTACAATGCTCAACTTTAAGCCGTTTTATTTTTAATGTAAAACGTTTGTTTGGCAGTATACTGCGCAGGTCGCAACATAATGGCGCAATGTTTGAAATTTGCACAACTTATTAAGTTCAAAAATTAACCTAAAACTCGTGTTTTTTACCTTAGCACTAACTTTATAATACAAGTCAAATTAAAACTAATTAATTTTAAGCAAAATTGCAGCTGTATTAATGACGCAATAATATAAATTTGCAGTTTATAAAGTATTATTCTGTTTGTTTGGATTCCTTTTCCGTTCCATTATCGAAAAAAACATTTCCAGAATGATAAAGCATCATTTGGAAGCGCTAAGCGCATCTGTATAGTTCCAAGATACAGTATCATAAAGCGTCGCGACGCTTTCGCGTCTAGTTGACTCCAGCCCAGCTTCTCGTTCAAAAGGGTGAATGTGTTCGTGTTTGTGATTTTTACATCTAATCATGGATGAATTGATGGAAACCACGGTTTACATAAGCTCTCCCATGGACTTTAAAACCCGAATTAGGAATTGGTGGAAAAGATTACGATTGAAAGCTGCGCTTCAACACATCGGCCTTTTGATAGCTCTCATGGGGTACACAGTCGCGGGGGGATTGGTACGACTTGCTTTTATTGCAAATTAAAGCTTTTGACTTAATTTACTTAAATCACAAAAGTTTCAAATAAAAGCGATAACATAGCGAAGATCAAGTTTTTATTGGACGAAAAACTTTCTTCGTTAATGCTTTTCGTGTATTGGCAAATAAACAGCCACACAATTCGAAATGAAACAAATTTACGCAAACTATTCTTAACTAAATTTAAAACGAGCAATTCAGCCCACTTTCCTTATGTAAATATTTTTCTTTCAGATTTTCCGACGTTTCGAATATCCTGCTGAAATTTCACGACTTAATCACTTCAATAACACGCTGTTACTAAAAAGAGAAAATTTTATACAACAAATTGTAAATAACACCGATTTGAAAAATTTAGATTATTTCATATCGAGCGAATTAGAGAATTATGAAAAAATTCTACAAGGTGCGTGTAGGGAAGGAATACCATTGTTTCCCAAAGAACAAGTTGCGAAATGGACCACACTGAAAGCGGTGTTTTTTTCATCGACGGTTTTAACGACTATTGGTAAGTAAACAGTTTCACCACTCGACTCGAGAGACGGTAATAAGTTAATTTCCACATTAATTTGTTTACCAATTAAACAATCAATCATTTTTCACGAATCACAATCAAATAGGAAACATTTACAAATATAAAAGTGGAATTCTATTTATCATAATGTCAGTCCAAACTGGAAAGTTGATTTATTATTATGGTTTCTCTTCCGTTTTGCAAATTAAATTCAAAATTTTATAAACACGGCTTAAAATAAGACTGAAAACGCTTTGTGATTAGAATTACATTACAAAAGGTGCTCTAATCACGTCGAAGACACGATTATTGATTCTTCCCGAGAAAAAACTTAATGTTAATTCAGTTAAATTTTAAACACGTTGTTAAATATACTGGACTAGCTTGAGTTTGTCGGCTATAATGAAGTTATTAGATCCAACACATAGTAAGGATGACCCAATTAAAATTTAAAATTAATCATAAGTTAGCCTAACAACTTGATAAATTTTAACGCCTGCAAAGTCAAACTCTGAAATTTTAAACACACGTGACTAATAAAAATTCATAAACGTCGCAACCGACCTATCACACTTATCCGAACAAAATTTCTCTTTATCCATTTATTTTTACGGTGTGTATATTGAGCCACATTTTTCCCAAACAAGGGAGATAATCAAATGTATCATGCATGAGCCAATTTACGAAACTCCTAAGTGACAAAATAACGAAAATTGAGACTTCAATTTATCCTTTGAAGGATACTCTATCAAATAAAATAATACACTGTAAGACTGATACCGGTTTGTGGAAATTCCACACAGTGTAAAATGCGTGTGGCACAAATATTTATTTTATTTTCGCGCCAAGCGTACCAAGCCAAAAATGGAAAAGTTGCGTGTTGACTTGTTATAATGGCTTTTAATATGTTTATTACCTACTACACCGAAATCAAAAAGTTTCACAAACATTAGAGATGAAGAATCGATAGATGGGATAGCTCGGGATTTTTGTTTGCACATAATTAAATGTTATTCAAAACATTGGCTTGTTTATTTGGAAAATTTATGGTTCGATTCAATGGTAACAAGTTGCCACATTTCCGCCAAAAATCTGAAAGCCTTTTTTTATTTGCAATTAATTTTTTATTTTGTACTCGTAACCTAAATGTGGTGGATGCGCCAAGACCCAAAAATTCTTTATTTACTTGTAATAGTTATTGAAAGCGCTATAATTTTTTTCTTGGTTAAACATAAGTCAACGATGCCTTGTATGATGATAAGTAGTCACGCCACAATGTACGAAAGGAGAATATGTATCAGGGATTTTGATTTATAGGCACTTAAATGAATAACAATCAATACGTTAACATCTTACAACAAAATTTTTTTTTACTTCTAAGTAACTAAATAAAAATAGCATTTGTTTTGAAGATTTATGTTTCGTATAAACGCTTAGCGAATTGCTAAATTTCCGGTATGAAACGAGAAATATTTTTATTGTTTCATCTATGTATTTCCATTTTTTAATACTAAGTTATCTACTTTACTGTTTTTGTGCAGTAAACATCTTGTGTAAAATACAAAAAAACAATAAATTGCTGAATTCAAAACATTTTAGATATAACATTTTATCAGCTTATGTTTGTTTCCTAATTTGACAGTAATACTTTGTCTTTTCTATGAGTAAATCTGCAGGTTTGTGTCTCGATTATTCCCGTAATATCAATATTTAATAGTGGCGCACTTTTAAAAATTGCTCATTTTTTATTTTTATGATTTACTATGAAGTTTCCTCAAAGCCATAAAATAAGCCCAAGACGATCGCAGTATCTGCAATATTTTAAATTAGATCGACTTTTATTTTAACAATTACTTACATTTGTGAAAGTTATTACATAATTGGAAGCATTTTTCCAACAAATAGTACTATGGGTTTTTGCGTTCTTTGCATAAAAAACAACAGATCTTTCTTAAAACTTTGCGGACAAACGTACCACTGACTTTTATAAGCGGAATAATACAAATTTGCTCTCTGAAAACAAATTGAATCAAATTTAAAGCTTTTTGGTTTAATTACCTTCAAAACGACTTCGTTTCCGAACCAACAATACAAAAAAAATTGCGTAAATATCGCCACTTGGTAAAATATCAGCATTATAAAAGTAGCGTTAAGAGTATTTACTAGTGATAATAAAAATATTGTTTCACACAAGACTAGCAAACTGGACCAGAACAATGGGACTATAAGCCAAACCAATAGTTTTAGCGAGTCTAAAAATATTTTATTTTTCTTTAAACAAAACAGTTGACTTACTTTAAAATTAATTTATGGTGGTGTATACAGTTTCCCAATTCACCTCTAACTGTGTGGAAATCAACAGTTTTTTTTCCTGAATGTGATACTTGGTTGTTAAGAAGATCACACTCCTGTTTGCATCATCAACATTGCAAAATAATTATCTATACAAACGTTACTTAAAGCATGATAAATAATAAAAATAGTTTGCCAAATGGAAGTCAGGCTATAGTTATAGCCCGAAAGATAATCGTAGCGAAACCAGGCGTTTGAAGGCAAACGTTTCTCGCCATCCAAAGTGGGAAACAGAATCCACATGATTGTAGTGAAAACGCCAGTGAAAAAATAATAGTTAAAAGATAAATTTAGACCAAAAAATTGCATTTTTGAGAATTTTTTCTTGTTGCTTATTTTTTGGTTGAAATTCTTTCAATTTAAACATGTTGACAACGATTAGAACGTGATTGAAGTTGTGTTGAAAAATATTTGCTTTTATTATGACAGCCACTGTACTCAAAAGATTGTAAATCGTGGCTATGACTTCTTCAGTGTTGTCAAAATTTTTCAGCATGTTTATCAGGCTTGTCAAATTGTATAAATACATGACGAAATGAGTGTACACTCTGTATATTTTTAGATTACCAAAAGGCCAATAGCCCATTATTTTAAATAAAATATTATTATCAAATATGCATTTATTCAAGTCTAGATACATTGTTGCAAGTGACAAAAGTTCGATAGAGCAAATTTATATGAATTATAAGATTATTAAAAATTAACAATTGGAAAAATAAAATATTTAGTAACAAATTACTTGACCTCAGTCGAGTCAACTTGAAATGATAATGACATACAATTTTTATTCAGAAAAAAATTATTCAATATTATTTTAAAGATTTATTTTTCTTTCTAACACCTTCTAATTTTTACATCACCCCAAAATCAATGTAATGTCTGTTTAATCTCACTAGTTGCAAACCGAATCTTTTTATGATACACTTTGCATTCCGTTTGCTATAAGACGAAAAACAGCAAATTGGAAACACAATGAGGCATAAATAACGACCCTACGACGATTTTAGCCGATTTTATCCAACCAATTCGAATTGAATTAGAGAAAAATTTTAACAAAAAGCATTCGCCAAGTTTGTTTGAATTCATTAACTCGAAAAGTTTAAAAATAAAATCGTAGAATTTGTTCTGTTTAATACGGAATATTCAGCTTAGTCAGACTTAACAAGTTACAAAAAATGTTTATTTAACAAAATAGGTGAGTCATTCTCTAGTTTAGAATTAAACTACATATTAAACTTACAAACTTTTGTATATCTATTTTAAGTTATCAGTGTTTAATTCTCTTCTATCAGTAAACAAATTATTTTATTCACAATCATCAAGTAGGTAATAATCTCGCTTGTAAAAAGTTGAAAGTATAATTGATATGAAATATAATAGTTTAATATAATGAAATATAATACTTTGTCATACGAGTATGTCTTTTGGCCAAAGAATATTTGTTTTATTGTCTACTTAATACATAAAAACGTAAAATGCAATTTCAAAATTTAATATTTTTTTATTGGTTTTCTGTTCTCTAAGAAAGATGATTCTGAATAAAATAGTATACAAACCTTGGTGGTCATTGCATCATCGTTCTTTTGCTTATTACTGATGGCGCTTATTTATTAAATATCGCCTTAGTGATGAAGCAACTCGTACCTTGGTATGTAATCTACTATTGTGGCCTTTACGTGTCTATTTTGAAAGTATAAGACTTGATGTTTTCTATGAGTAACTGAGTAACTCTGCAAACTTGTGCCTTGACTATTCTTCTAATATCAATATTTAACAGTGATGCACTTCTAAAAATCCCCAATTTTTATTTTTATAATTTATCATGAACTTTTCTCAAAGCCATAAAATAAGCCCAAGATGATCGCAGTATCTGCATTATTTTAAATTAGATTAACTTTTATTTTACCAATTACTTACATTTGTGAAAGTTATTACAGTAATTGGAAACAGTTTCCCGACAAAAAGTACGATGGGTTTTTGCGTCCTTTGCATAAAAAACAACAGATCTTTTTTAAAACTTTGCGGACATTCATACCACTGACTTTCATAAGCGGAATAATAAAAATTTGCGCTCTAAAAACAGGTTAATTCAAACATAAACCTTTTTTGGTTTAATTACCTTCAAAACGACTTCGTTTCCGAACCAACAATACAAAAAAATTTCCGTAAAAATCGCTACTTGGTAAAATATCAGCATTATAAAAGTAGCGTTAAGAGTATTCACTAGTGATAATAAAAACATTGTTTCACACAATACTAACACACTTGTGGCAAACTGGACCAGAACAATGTGACCATAAGCCAGACCGATGGTTTTAGCGAGTCTAAAAATATTTTTAATTTTTTTAAACAAAACGCAAGTTGACTTACTTTAAAATTAATTTATGGTGGTGTATGCAATTCCCTAATTCTCTTCTAATTGTCTCAAAGTTAACACTTTCTTTTCCTAAAAGTGACACTTGGTTGTTGAGAAGATCACACTGAGCCCCTGTTTGTATCATCAACATTGCAAAAAGAGTATCCATACAAACGTTACTTAAACCATGATAAATGATAAAAATACTTTGCCAAATGTAAGTCAGGGTATAGTTAGAGCCCGAAAGATAATCATAGGGAAACCAGGCGTTTGAAGGAAAACGTCTCTCACCATCCATAATGGGAAACAAAAGCCACATGACTAGAGTAAAAACAGCAGTGAGGAAGAAATAATAAAAGATAAATCTAGCCCAAAAAATTCCATTTTTAAGAATTTTTTCTTGTTGCTTATTTTTTGGTTGAAATTCTTTTAATTCAAACATATTGACAATAGTTTGAACATGTCTGAAGTTGTGTTGAAAAATATTTGCTTTAATTATAACAGCCACTGTACTCAAAAGATTGTAAATCGTGGCTGTGACTTCTTCAGTGTCGTCAAGATTTTTCAGCATGTTGATTAGACTTGTCAAATTGTATAAATACATGTTTATCATGACGAAATGAGTGTACACTCTATATATTTTTGGATTACTAAAAGGCCAATGGCTCATTATTTTAAACAAAATTATATTATCAGAAATGCCTTTATTCAAGTCTAGATACATTGTTGCAAGTGACAAAGGTTTGAAAGAGCGAATTTATATGAATTATAATAAAATTATTAAAAATTCACAAACCTGGAAAAATAAAATATTTATTAACAAATGACTGAATACCAGTCGAGTTAATCGATAATTACATACAATTTGTGTTCAGGAAAAAATTATTCATTACTATTTAAACGTTTTATTTTCCTTTTTAAGACCACCCCATTTTTTACAACACCTCGAATCAGTGTAATGTCTGTCTAATCTCACCCGCAGCAAAATGTATTTTTTATGGTGCACTTTGCATTCATTTCCGTTTAAGACAAAAAACAGCAAATTGGAAACACAACGAGCCATAAATAACGACCTTACGACGATTTCAGCCGATTTTATCCAACCAATTTGAATTCAATTAGAAAAAAAAATAACAAAGAGTTTGTTTCAATTCATTAATTTAAAAAGTGTAAAACTAAAATAGTAGAATTTGTTGTCTACTACGAAATATTCAACTTTGTCAAACTTAACTAGTTACAAAAAATGTTTATTTGACAAAATAGATACGACATTCTGTAGTTTAGAATTAAACTATTAAACTCGCATTTTAACAATAACGATGAATTCATTCATGTAAAATAAGAGTAACTCTGCACTTGTGTTTCGACTATTCTTCTAATATCAATATTTAACATTGATGCATTTCTGAAAATTACTTAATTTTTATTTTTGTGATTTATATTGGATCTTCCTCAAAGCTATAAAATAAACCCAAGATGATCGCAGTATCTGCATCAATATTGTAAATTAGATCAACTTTTATTTTAACAATCACTTACATTTGTGAAAGTTATTACAGTGATTGGAAACATTTTTCCAACAAAAAGTACGATGGGTTTTTGCGTCCTTTGCATAAAAAACTTTCATAAGCGGAATAATAAAAATTTGCGCTGTGAAAACAGCTTGATTCAAACTTAAAGCTTTTTGGTTTAATTACCTTCAAAACGAGTTCGTTTCCAAACCAACAGTACAAAAAAATTTGCGTAAAAACCGCCACTTGGTAAAACATCAGTGTCATAAAAGTAGCGTTAAGAGTATTCACTAGTGATAATAAAAACATTGTTTCACGCAAGACTAACACACTTGTGGCAAACTGGACTAGTACAATGTGACCATAAGTCAAGCCGATGGTTTTAGCGAGTCTGCAAATGTTTTTATTTTGTTTTAGAGAAAAACAACTTGACTTACTTTAAAATTAACTTATGATGGTGTATGCAATTCTTTAATTCACCCTTAAGTGTTTTAAAATCAACACTTTCTTTTCCTAAATGTGACACTTGGTTGTTAAAAAGATTACATTGAGCCCCGGTTTGCATCATTAATATTGCAAAAAGACCATCCATACAAACGTTACTTAAAGCATGATAAATGATAAAAATACTTTGCCAAATGTAAGTCAGGGTGTAGTTATGGCCCGAAAGATAATCATAAGGAAACCAGGCGTTTGAAGGCAAACGTCTTTCACCATCCATAATGGGAAGCAGAATCCACGTGATTACAGCAAAAACGGCAGTAAATAAAAAGTAATAAAAAATTAATTTGGCCCAAAAAATCTCATTTCTTAAGATTTTTTCTTGTTGCTTATTTTTTGGTTGAAATTCTTTCAATTCAAACATGTTGACAATGGTTTGAACGTGCTTGAAGTTATATTGAAAAATATTTGCTTTAATTATGACAGCCATCGTACTCAAAAGACTGTAAATCGTAGCTGTAGCTTGTTCAGTGTTGTCTAGATTTTTCAGCATGTTTATCAAACTTGTCAAATTGTATAAATACATGTTTATCATGACGAAATGACTGTACACTCTGTATATTTTTGGATTTCTAAAGGGCCAGTGGCCCATTATTTTAAATAAAATTATATTATCAGATATGCCTTTATTCAAGTCCTACATACATTGTTGCAAGTGACAAAAGTTCGATAGATCAAATTTATATGAATTATAATAAGATTATTAAAAATTAACAAACTTGAGAAAATAAAATATTTAGTAACAAATTAAATATTCATCATTATTTAAACGATTGATTTCAATATCTGTCTAATTTCACACATAGCAAAACGTATTTTTTATTATTGTGCCTTTGGCATTAATTATAGGGGGTCTGATCGTACTCATCTTAATTGCGCGGGTATCGTAGTAAAAACTTTGTAGAGTAATTATCAAACTCGTCCTTGAGATAAAAGATCAAACTGGGGCTTGGCGGGTTGAAGTTTCTGATTTTCAATGTTATCGTCTTGGCGAAAAAATGTAAAAAGTGTAAGCAGTTTTTTGGAAATTTCGTGAAATAGTGCCGGTGTAAACACAGTCTTACGAGTATTTGAAACCTGTTCTCCTAATTTTTTTGTAGATTTCTTACATGGTAGTTTCAAACTTTGCCCTCACACACGAAAAATTAATCACTTTCTCTAAAAGGAAACATTTGTGGCCACAGAAACGTATTTTACACACTTTATCGTAAAAAAAACAATTGTTTCTAAAGACAAATATTTGTGACGTTCTTGATATTTATATTTTTTCAAACGTTGCCATGTCAAGCACCTATATATCAAACTATTTGACTTATGTGTGCTATTCAAAAGAAACCGGCGCATCCACCAATTTTTTCGTTTCTATCATTTCCTCTCTTCCACACATAAACACTACAATGTTTCGTAAACTTTATTTCTCCTAGTTTTTTCACGTCTCATCTTTTAATTAGTTTTCCTCTTCCATAATGAAACTAAAAGCTTTAAATTAAACCTTAAATCACGTGCAAAATCTTTCCTGGAATTTGTGATAAATACCCTGTTGCAGGATACGGGGACATCGTTCCACGAACAACTGAAGGCCGCGCCTTCTGCATAGTATTCGCTCTTGTGGGAATTCCACTGACATTGACCGTGATTGCAGATTGGGGGCGGCTTTTCGCATCGACTGTATCAACCCTAGTTAAACACACACCACCAATGCCTAAAAGATTCAGGTCAACAAGAATTGCAAATTAATACGAATCAATAAATTGTGATTATAGGAATGCAACGGTCGCTCGCAGAACGTCTTCTTACGCCTTTTCCGCTGTTTGTTTTCTCTTCGTTTACCTCGCCGCAGGAGCAGGAATTTTCGTCAGTTGGGAGGACGACTGGACGTTTTTTGACGGATTTTATTTCTGTTTTATTACAATGACAACGATCGGATTCGGGGATTTAGTCCCGAGTAAGGATTAACATTTATTAAATTATTCGTCTCTAGGGTGTTGCGAATTTGTGAGTCAAGGTCGAGTGAAAAATTCACTATTTCTATAGGAGTGCGGACAAAATCGATATAAATTTCTTGTTTGTTTAATTTATGAGAGCAGACTCATGAGAAGGGACAAGTTTTATGAGGCCTCCACAGAATTAAGACTAGATACTTAAGTTAAAAACTTTATAATTAAATTTAGAGGTTTTAAAGAGGTAATTATAGAGTCGCGTATATTTATTGAGACAAGGGTGGCGACGTTATTCTTCCCCTAATTTTACGGGTCGCATAGTGCACAAAATGACACTGACCCCAAAGTCGATATCGGAAGGTTAAAAAAAAACACGTTGTTTCGCTTAGATTTACCAAAATTTAAAGGCTTTTTTATAAAAAAAAAACACTCAGTCTATAGACTGAGTGTTATAATATCATTATTAATATATAGATTATTATATTAATAATTATAATAAAAAACAAAGACACTTTTCTCACTTGGTTTGATTTTTTGCAGGTAATGTTATGTGTAAAGAAATATTGAATTTATGAGCGCTCGTCTATTTCTGCCCATGTTTGCGTCATAAAGTGGCCATATTAAAGTCGTTTTAATACCACTCACAAATCTCTTATTGCTTATTTAACAATTTGAAACCTGAATCACTCGTTTCCGGATTTACGACTTCAGCAAAAAAGGTTCGGGTATTTCCCCCGAGAGATCAAATAGCAAAAATACTGTTATAATAAAACTGTTTTTTTTTCTTCACGCAGAACAGCCGACTTATATGCTTCTTTGCACGTTGTACATTTTGGTGGGTCTTGCCTTAACGTCTACTATAATAGAGTTAGTGCGACGACAATATGCTCAATCTTGGAGACAGCTCCAGGCTCTTCGTGGACCCCTCGCTGAAAATTTCAGGAAGCTGGCCGACAATGCGCCGGGATTAGACGTGATGGCCTTCCAGCAGGATCTCATGAAAGTTTTAACCGTGGTAGGTGACAAGACGGTTATTTATTGAGAGGAGAATTTTTTTGATAGTCGTAAATACTACTATTAGACGCGGACACAGTAATAACAAATTTCATTAAACAAATAAAATGTAAAAGAATATCAGACTAGTCGCGGTCATAGAAAATAAATATTTAAAGCGCAAAATAAAAAAATCTCAATTGTTTTGTCCTTGGTACAAGTTTGAAGTAGGTACAAAGTGATAAAACACTATTGATAAATGAGTAATTTTGTTTAGGTGACGATGTCGCGTAAAAATGCATTTTCGAGAAAGGAAAAGAAACTCAAACAGAAGGAATGGGAAGATGCCATCGAAGCAGTGATAAGAGATATCACTGTGGGTACAGCAGCCGTTGAACAGAAGCCACCGATGGTCCAAATTGTTATTTATGAGAGTTCCGTTTGAAGAGGTCGACATCTTATCACAGTTGCATAACGTCGGAATTCTGACTCATATCAATGTTGAGGTCGATTGGACTTAAAACCAATTGAATTTTGTTGTCTAGTGACGATGACGTGAGAACCACGGTTTCAACAATACATCTTTATTATTTCTACAAGGCTATTGTTAACTTATTATGATAAACAGAAATTGTAAAAAACTAGACATAATATAGGCTGTTATAAAAATTATCAAAAATAAAACATTTTTAAAAATTGTGATTTAATCCTTTTTTATGTTAACTTTAGTTTTTCTCTCTAAAAAAATGCTGCTATTAATTGCCTAAATAAAAAAGATACATCAAAAAATAGTATACACTATAAACATATTACGCAGCTCATTCGTAGGTATTATTTTTTCTTTGCAAAACTTTCGATTTGACAATTATGCAACTTGTATTGAATAAATAAACCATGGAACGTCGCCTAATTATTTTATTTTTATTATTAAAAATCAAATAAATTGCTACCAAGATTGTTACATACAAATCTGTACCTTATTAGAGGTCAACTGTGTTAAGTCACAAATTTTCATTTTTCATGTGTTTAATATTAAAAAAAAATCTTATAAATAAATTTTAAAATACAGAGTCACGAGGAGTATGTTTAAAAACAATAGGATTTTTTCAAATTTTTGTAATGCTTTATGATCCCACAATTAAATATTTGGCCGTTTCTAATAATGTTATGCGCTCTCCTGAACAATTTGCATCATGTGACCTCTAAGGTACAGAAATATAATTAAAAAAAAAAATAGAAATTTGAATTATTATTTATTTTTTGATAATGATAAATTTGAACTTCTTTACTGTTTTTAGTAGGAAGTCACTCACAGCCATTGTTAGGTACCAATTTAATTTTTTAATTAATAAAACATTGTCAACCATTTATTTTTAATAAAAAAAATAATTAATTCAAATTATAAAAAAAATGTGACTTGACTTCTTAAAATTAGTTTTTTGTTTTAATAGCTATGAACACAACAAGAGTTTTAAACTATAAAACTTGTGTTGTCTTCAAAATGTTTACCAACATTAATAATATACTGAATAAGAAAATAAATAAAAAATACTAAATTCAAAAATGTTTGTAAAGAAATTTGTCAAAATAATGTCAAAATTAACAAAATGCTAAGAAAAGAGTATTTTATGTACTTTTGACGACGTATTTTATAGAAGATCATACATTAACCACAACTTAAGACGTAAGCTTAAATGCAACATAGAAACAGTACAAAATGTTAGTGTTGAAAAAAGTAGTTTTATCCATAACAGCTTTTAATAATTATATCCTCTCTAGCATTTTTCTAATTTCAGAAATATCAGTTAGTAGCTTGTAGCCACTCGCAATTAAGCAATTTCTTATGATAATAAACATTAAAACTTATTCCAGCTTTTATACGTTCCTCCCCCTTGACTCATTTGCTCCATTACTCGCAAAATTTAATTTTGAGAAAACACGAGGTTGAATTACCATCGCCTTCCGAGTAAACTTTGCCCCCTGACCTGAAAACACGCAGTTCGTAGTGCAATTGAGTAAGAAATGACTCATTCAAGATAAAAAATTTACACCAAACTTATTACTCCAAATATTTTCCGAGGTCAGCCAAGGACGACCCCTTGCCTTTATATCCCTTGAGTCATAAAAAGTAACATTTCGTAACGTAACGTAAGCCACGTATGTGTTTCTACTTCTAGAAAAACATAACGTATGGTCGTAATGGACTTTGCCCCCATTTACACCGCGTATCATGTGATAGAGAAAATGAGAATGAGATGAGGTGAGTTAGGGGACCCCCCACTCTGTATATTCTATATATACAGCGTTGAGGACAAGCCGGCTTTAGAATTGTTCAGTTTGTTGTATAGTGATATTTGATTTTGTGTTACATAGAATATTTTGTCTACTACCGGTGATTTAATCCAGTAAGTTTTGATTTATCGTATTCTCAAAGTATAATAAGGGCGTACGTGACTAGAGTCACTTGAAACCAATTAAATGCGTCTGAGACTAGCCACTAACTCGATTAGAGCCCTTCTTATCAAACTTTTTTTCTGTTTTAATTGATTCTTACACAATCAATCAATTATTTATTTTTTTAACAGTTTTAGTACAAATATAAGTTTGAAATATCTGATAATAAAATTGTTTTGCTTGACCTTTGGATAAGAAAAACAAAATTGTGTCCGATAACACTCTCTTATCTCTTTTTTTCTCGTTGTTATCAGATTGTGTCCTCTTTCAGACACCAATTTAACCATTTAAGTCACTCAAATCGGTTTCAATTCAGTCGTAGGTATTCAAACAATAAAACTAATTGGTTTATTTAATTTGCTAGTCATATTCATAATGGCTGATACTCAAGTAACTACAAGCACAACCGCCCCCACGTGCATGGAATCCGTCAACCGAATCGCCAAATTCCCTGTGATCGAAAGCTCCCTTCAAGCGGCCACAAATGTCTACGAGAAGGTTAAAGAATACAACGGAATGACTCAGTGGACTTGCAACACCGCTGAAACCGTGGTCCACAAGGCCGTCGAAGTGGGCAAACCCATCGTCCAAGGTCTCGAAGGTCCCATTAAAAAGGTCGATGGAGTCCTTTGCACCGGCTTGGACTACGTTGAGACTAAAGTCCCAGCTGTGAAACTTCCTCCTGGCGAGGTAAATACTTTCATCCGATCATTTTACTTTTTCATTTCATTCAATCATCCCTCTCTAAATAATTCTCTTATCAGCTCATTTACCAGATGTACACCACTACCAAAGACTACGTCAACAATACCGTGACTCCCGCCGTAGGGGCTGCCTACTCTTACGTCGAACCCGCGGTTAAGTCGGCCTACGAGAAGATAGAACCCGCGGTTCAAACTGCCAAAACCGCCGTCGAACCCGCTGTTGAGAAAGCCAAAATTTTGGTCGAGCCCGCTGTTGAGAAAGCCAAATCTTTTGTCGAACCTGCAGTGAGTGCTGTTGAGAGTTTGAAGCAATACGGGAGTCACAAATTGGAGGAAATCAGACAATGCACCAGAGGACACCCTGAAGGTGATTTGGAATGCGAAGAATGTCAAGCCGCCGCGAAAAAAATGGGATAGAATCATTAGATTAGATATATTTATGAATTAAGTGTAAGTTTTGTACTGTGCTCATGTTTTTAAGACTGTTTTATATATTGTAATATATTTAATTACCGTTTTTCTGTAAATTAAAGTGGGTTTTGCGATATTGTAGAGTGGTATTTTTGAGATTATTGAAAGGGTCAAGGTCTGAGAAAAACGGTCGGCATTTGTAGTATTTCATAAGGTTTTGAATAAAAATTTTTACTCTCCAAGTTTTCTTTTGTCTAATTCCCAAAATAAAACTGTTCAATAATGAATTAATTTCCACATACACAACTTTGTTTTACTGCTGGATTAATTAACAGTTATGCTATTTGACTATATAATACACTTGTGTATTGCTGGTTGTCGATCAAACATTTTCTGTTAAATATTTATTTTTGTAAATTCAAAGAATTTTTGACACTAACTAATAATAATTCAAAACATCAAATCTTGTTTTTTACTTGCTAGTCTGTACAATATTATAAGTTTGCTTTCATAATCTAACTTTTTCTAATTGTGTTGACTGTTGACATATTTGTTTTTCCTGTTTGTGGATTTTTTAAAAATATGTAATAATTTTGTTCTGAGGCGCTCGGATATTTGTTCAATGCTTCTACCGTATCGTATTTTTTAAATCTTTATGATTTTATATATTTTTTCATCTATTTTACAGTTCACAGAACTCTTATTGATTATTATTTACACATTTGGAGTGGAATAGTTTTTCCATGGCCAACTATTATCACACAAAATATGTATTTCACTTTTTAAGTATAGTTATAAAAAAATATTTTGTTACAAATATAGATTTTTTAGATCAGAAAAAAATAAGCTTTTCAAAATTGCCATAGCCGCCTATGATTTCCATTTAAAAAAATACAAGTTTATCTTATTACGGCTAAACTAATAACTAAAAAAAATTGTTAACTACATTATTAAATTCCTCGTAAAAAAGTGCCTGTATAATGTCTTTATTTCAAATCCGTATCTTCTATAATAACGAAGATATGATTTTTTTTAGATTTCGCTAAAATGTCAATTTTTGTCTATAAGTTGAAAACAAAAGACAATAGCGGGATGCGGTTTTAACCAATATTATTTTCTCAAAAAATGAGCCCCAGAATGTATCACTCGTTTTTGGCTAAACATCTTAGTTTCGGAGATTCCCTATTCGGACATCCAAAATGCAGCACCCTATACAGTTGCACCCTATAAAAATTTCAGGCAGTATTGTTATTTTCATAATGTAAACACTAAAACAACCTTTACATTGATAACCTCAGTTTTATTTTTTATGTCATTTTGACTTATTTACTTTCTTATTTACTTTCAAAAATAGTAATTTGTGGCATAATAACGGGTAGGCAGCATATCAAAGCGATGATTTATTTAATTACACTTAGTTCAATTAATAAATTTCCTAAGACAGACAAATTGTTTAATTAACAATTTTAACAACAAAAAAAAATAAGTTTAATTGTCAAATGTCAGTCATGATGACAGTGAACTTTTTAAAGTTACAGAAAAATACTGCCCGAAATTTTAATTCTGTAACTGTACAATATGAGCATTCAACTTTTTAGAAGTAAATCTATTATTTATTTAATAAACAAAGCGCTTATATTATTTTTTTTAGAAATAAAAACTTCAGAAACTAAAAATTGTTTCTTTTCAAGTCATTAATGAAAACACATCGAAAAAATTTGAATGTCAAATTTTTATTATAAAAATTATTTTTCAAGAATTTGTTTAATTATGACTAATTTTTAATAAAAATTATAAAATCTATGAATTTTGTGTCTAAAAACCATTTAATTTTAAGTTGATTTTGATATTTAAAGATTCAAATATTAGTACAGTGATGGACAATGAATTTCGTCCATCCAATTTCCCTGACAGATTAAAAGTAAATTATTCTTTAGGTTTTAGTTATTCTTTAGGTAAAAAGTAAATTATTCTTTAGGTTTTTTAACCTTATTTTAGAATTTTGATTAACGTTTGTCATGTTAACAGAATGATCGATGCTTCTTGCTACTTTTTACCTTTGTCCTTTTAAATGGTAGTCCTTGGGTATGCCCAAAAGTATAGAGGTACGTCTTTGAGGCATACCTTCTTGTACCAGAGAGATGATTTTTATTTTATTAAACGCACTTACTGCTGGTATGTTCGAATTTGATTAAATTTGACAATACGTATTTGAATGTCAGTTATCATGACAATAAAGCACAGACTACAGTGAATTCTTGTGAATTCACAGAAATTGGGTGGACGAAATTCACTGTCCATCACTGTACCTATAAAATACCTATATGAATGTTTTTGAAGAACTAGAAATAAATCGATATTGTACTAAATTGGTATACCAAATTTTCTTATATGACACTTGTATTCCATTGCTTTAAATGCTCATCACTCTATATACAGGGTGCACTAAAACTATAGTACGGTGTCTAGAAGTATTTGGTAAGTGAGAGAAAAACATTTAAAAAATTCTTAATGTTAAATTTGCACTTGGATGAAGGTTTATTTTATGGTAAATCTGGCAACTGCGTGTACCTACCTTAAGAAAATTAAGAGAGTTGAATAATTCAATATTTGAATTCATTGTTACCTTTAAACGTTGCCGCATCGATTTTTGCATAATTATAGATAATTTAAAAGAGGTAAATCGCATTGAATGTTAAAGACCACAGACATTGCGTTAAAGATTATTAATTTACCTTCTACTCTGCATATTTTAATTGGATTTTGAGTGTTAGTTAGAAATAATAAGTACAACTAACAATGTTTGAAGATTCTTACACAAAACCCCCACTGTGCAGAAAAATAAAAACCAAGAATTTTTTAAATATTTTGCCCTCAGTCACCAAATGCTTCTATAGTTTTAGTGCGGCATTTTTTAAATATCCTGTATATTTTTTAGTTTTACTACTGGTTCATAAATAAACTGGTATTCGATTTGTAATTCGTAATTTTCGCAATTTGTAATTCGTAATTGCTCTTTGATTGCTTTTTAACTTTTTATAGTTTTAAGGTCAATTAATTCCATCAACCCATCAAACTTAAGTTTTCCCACAAATTTTCCAATTTATTCACTGACAATACATTAATTTACATTTCACGTATTTTCCACACGTTTGTAAAAATCGTTAAGGTCTATTTTGTAAAAATCATTGTCAAGGTCTATTTCTCCGAATCTCACCGAACGAGCTCTTCCCAGTAATGGGAATTAAACGACCCTCGGAAACCCCCAAAAAATTTCCAAATGCGGGTCACCGAAATCCACAAATCATCCCTTTTTAATATTCAAGCGCACTTCCTCTCCAATTACCATAAGGTTATGTGTATATTTATCGAAAAATTGTATTGACAAAAGTCCGTCCATTGTATTTTATTTATGAGTTTAAAAAATAACTTGCGTCAAGGAGGTCGACTATAAAAGGGGCTGGTACATGCTTTCACAGCACATTTTGGTGGCAGTCGTTTAGTTTAGTGATGTCTACGACCGTACCAACACCGGACATAAGTACCCCTTCGGGGATACTTTCCGCCTCCAATGTCTTCTACTTTTTGTTAATACCGGCCCTTCTGTTATGGTACACGTATTGGAGGATATCCAAAAGGCACATGCTGGAACTCGCCGCTAAAATCCCAGGACCCCCCGGATTACCAATCATCGGAAACGCGCTAGATTTAGTCGGAAAACCACATCGTAAGTAAAGAATTTTTATCGATTTTTCAAATCACGAAAAATTTAGAGGTCTTCAGCCATGTGTATGAGAAGTCCTTTGAGTACAAAAAAGTGGTAAAAATGTGGGCTGGTCCCAAACTTTTGGTCTTTCTGACTGACCCTTCAGACGTCGAACTGATTTTGAGCAGTTATGTCCACATTGACAAGTCCTCCGAGTACAGGTTTTTCAAACCGTGGCTCGGCGATGGTCTCTTGATTTCCACGGGACAAAAATGGAAAGCCCATCGGAAACTCATCGCCCCCACGTTCCATCTCAACGTCCTCAAATCCTTCATTGATTTATTTAACGCTAACAGTCGCGATGTCATCAACAAATTGAAAAAAGAAATCGGGAAAGAATTTGATTGCCACGACTACATGTCTGAGGCCACTGTTGAGATGCTCCTCGAAACCGCCATGGGTGTGAGCAAAAAGACGCAAGACCAAAGCGGATACGACTATGCCATGGCTGTTATGAAAATGTGCGATATTTTGCATTTGAGACACACCAAATTCTGGTTGAGGCCTGATATTATTTTCAACCGAACTAAATACGCTGAATATCAAAAATCTTTAATTAACACCATCCACAGTTTGACCAGGAAAGTCATTAAACGGAAGAGAGCCGATTTTGATAAGGGTATTAGAGGCTCAACTGCTGAAGTTCCGCCAGAACTCCAAACCAAAAATTACGACAAAACTGAATCCAAAACCGTTGTTGAAGGACTCTCATATGGACAAAGTGCCGGTCTTAAGGATGATTTAGACGTGGACGATAACGATATCGGTGAAAAGAAGAGAATGGCATTTTTAGATTTGATGATTGAAGCTTCACAAAATGGCGTTGTTATCAACGATGAAGAAATCAAAGAACAAGTCGATACGATCATGTTTGAAGGGCACGACACCACCGCTGCTGGAAGTAGTTTCTTCCTCTCCATGATGGGTGTCCACCAGGATATTCAAGAAAAAGTCGTACAAGAACTTTACGATATTTTTGGTGACTCTGACCGGCCTGCTACTTTTGCCGATACTCTCGAAATGAAATATTTGGAAAGATGTTTAATGGAAACTTTGAGGATGTTCCCCCCGGTACCCATTATTGCCCGACAGTTAAACCAAGATTTAAAATTAGGTAATTTTCCCAAACTTAATTTATTTCCATTTTCATATGTTTTTTATAGCCTCTGGTGATTATACTGTTCCCGCCGGTTGTACTGTTGTTATTGGTACTTTTAAAATCCATCGGCTTGAGGAATATTATCCTAACCCGGATAAATTTGATCCTGATAACTTCCTTCCGGAGAAAACTGCCAATAGGCATTATTATTCTTTCATTCCGTTTAGTGCCGGACCTCGTAGCTGTGTTGGTAAGTTTTGAACAAAAGTTTTTTGTTTTTTTTTCTTACTTAAGTGATTTTTTAGGTCGCAAATATGCTATGTTAAAACTAAAAATTTTGCTCTCTACGATTTTGAGAAACTACCGCATTTATTCAGATTTGAAAGAAAAAGATTTCCAACTTCAAGGTGATATTATTCTTAAGAGGGCTGAAGGATTTAAAGTTAGATTGGAACCAAGAAAAATGATCAAAGCTTAAGTCAGAAATATTTATGTGTAGTTGTAGATTTGTAAATTTGTAGAAAAACTGGGATTAAATTATATTTATCAAAAATAGAACTAGCTGACGAACATTCAATAAATATTTTTTATTTTAACTCTTCCCAAAAACATTTCTGAACACATTTAAAAAAATAATCATCAAAACTTTTAAACACAAATACAGTTGGGGACACGGAATCCTGGGCAGTCTTTTATTGTCATTTCAAAAAAATGTCAATGTAAATGCACCTTTACCGTCATTATTAATATTAAAAAAAAAACCTGTCAAATTAACTTTGACATACATCAATTTTTGGAAAATGCCAGCTGTTTTAAAAAAAATCTCGAGCCATAGCTTTTATTCAAAGAGGGATGTGTAGCGGCAAGTGACTGGGGATTCCAAAAAGTACGGTGAATTTGATCGTGCAGAAATGGAGACAAGCTTGGTTATGAGTACCTAAGGTTTAGTTTAGAAATTTTGACAATCGAATGACACATCTGCCCAGTTTTCCATGTCCTCCATTGTACTACCTACCGGAACTACAAATTTGAACAAGATAGTATATTATGCATCAAAAACGCTAAGAACATCTCAGACATAATTGATCGGTAAGTCGTTCATGATGTTTATGAAATTTTTGTTAATTATTTTAATAAAATATCTAACAAATTTACTTACCGTTCTAGAGCGCCAAAAATACTTTGGCGACGACTTTGAATACTTACTGACGAGTTTGTGTTAGCAACGAGTAAATATGTACAACCTACTGTCCTAAAAACAGACGTAGTAAACAAGCAAACAGAGCTCAATCGCACAAATTAACTTATTAAATACTTATAACATAAAAAAACAAACATTTTTATTGTTTTTTTATTAACTACATTTAGTTATACAATAATAAAGTTTCAATATCAGTTTCTATGTTTCAATAAAATAGAATTTGTAAAAAGTGTATTGTTAGTTGCCTTAGCCTAAGAACCAAAATCCCTTGTTTTAATAGCTTTTTATAAGTAAATAAATACATAAATTAATTACCAACGTTAATAATATTGTAATATCATATAATATAAACAAATATAATAAACAATACAAAAAATTAAATAAAAATATTTAGCGCTGAAGCGAGTTGGCACAAGCTGATCTTCATTGATTCACACTATTGACAGTGTTGCCACCACACTCTGCCTTTCCTCAAAAAAATGGCGAATGTCAGAAGTCTTATTGGCATTTTGTGTACAAAACAGTTAAATATCTTCGTGACACCTCAAGTAAACAAAATATCAGCAAGATTTCTACATAATTGTCTACAGTGTAACAAATTTTCGGTAAATTTGAATGTCGCAAACACCCCGGTAAAAAACGGTAAGTTACAGCATGTCCTCAAAATTGCATCATTTATCAGTCAAAAACCTTTGAACTTTGCTTTTCCTAGTTTTATAATCTTAGCGAATGATTATTGCAAAATTATGAGCTATTTCCGGGCTTGTTTTAGCATTTTTTCTAACATAACCCCACTTTTCAGTTTTACATATTTCATCTCGAAAAATCCACTTAAACTCGGTTTTGCATGCGGCGAAAGACTACTATCAAATTTTGGGGGTTAGTCGCAATGCGTCTGGGGCCGAAATAAAGAAAGCTTATTATAAATTAGCCAAAAAGTATCATCCTGATGTCAATAAAGATGACCCTAATGCCGCAAAAAAGTTCCAAGAAGTGTCCGAAGCGTATGAGATTCTTGGCGACGAGACTAAAAGAAAGCAGTTTGATACATGGGGGGCCACGTCCGAGCAAATGGGCGGTATGGGAGGCGGCGGTGGTGGCCCCCATTCGGGACATCAAGGTTTTGCTGAAAGTTGGCAATACCAGTCGACCATCAACCCGGAAGAACTCTTTCGGAAGATTTTTGGAGAGGCGGGTTTCGGAAAAAATGCAGGATTTGACGATTTCGCTGAATCCACTTTTGGTTTCGGTCAAGCACAAGAGGTTGTGGTTAAATTAAGCTTTTTGCAAGCGGCAAGAGGGACTAATAAGGATATAACAGTCAATGTTGTGGACACTTGTCCCAAGTGTCGCGGGTCGAGGTGTGAACCAGGCACCAAAGCTACACGGTGCACCCATTGCGATGGTACAGGGATGGAAAGTGTAACACGGGGGCCTTTTATTATGAGGTCAACATGTAGGTACTGCCAAGGGAGTCGTATGTTTATCAAACATAAGTGTACAGAATGTGAAGGAAAGGGACAAACGGTTCAAAGAAAAAAGATTACAGTTCCGGTACCAGCAGGTATGATAAATTTCTACGGTTAAAGCAAAAGAGACTATTTTAAAGGTTATTTCAGGTATTGGAGATGGTCAGACTGTAAGAATGTCGGTGGGACAAAAAGAATTGTTTATAACGTTCCATATTGAAAAATCACGGTATTTTAAAAGAGATGGGGCCGATGTACACACGGAAGCTGAAATTTCCGTCGCGCAGGCACTTCTAGGGGGCACTATTCGTATAGAAGGGTTGTACGAAGATCACATGATACAGGTATTTTTTGTCAAGCATTTGTGTGCGTTTATACTAAAAGACAAAATTTTGGGTTAGGTAATGCCAGGGACATCATCACACACTCGAATTAGACTTGCCGGTAAAGGCATGAAAAAAGTAGATGGCTACGGACATGGCGACCATTATGTGACTTTTAAAATAGCAGTACCAAAACAACTTTCACCTAAACAAAAAGCCCTAGCCCAGGCATATGCCGAGTTGGAAACTGATACTCCCGGTCAAATTTTGGGAGTGACGTTAAAAACCGATGGTAAGTTTCTAAGGGGATTAAGGGGGCTTGAAATTTAGCTTTTGTTCCTTGTTTTTGCAAAACTTACATAAATTTTTGTTGGCAGGCAAAGACAAGGACGAAATGCCTCTCGCAGGTTCTGAAGCTAAATCTCAAGCGGAGGGAGAGAAACCGAGTCTGCTTTCAAAAATCAAATCGGCATTGTTTGGTTAATTAAAACAATGTATAGCTTGAATTTTTTATTTGTATATAACAATTAAGTTACTAAATAAATAGACTATACAATAGAATTTTTTTTTGTCATTTGTTAACATTAATACATTTTTTTAGGTAGCAAAATTTTTGTCTCGAAAGACAAACAAGAACTTTTAGAAGCCCTTAGATTAGTGCTACAAGGTAAGAATGTTGAGAACGCCAAAGAAAATCACTCACAAAAAACCACTAAGAAAGTTGTAGATAGAGATGTTGAAAATGAAAATCTTAGCGACACTGAAGAAGCAAAGAGAAATAAAATGCCATAATGTTATCTAGTTTTATATTAAAATGTTATTCTAAAGAAAGAATAAAACGACTAGAATCTAACGTTTTATTTTATTCACATTAAGGCAGTCCTTCTTAAGGCTACATCAGCGCGATGTTGCATCACAGACATTCAAATTATCCACAACAGTCACATGACTCAATTAATTCTAGTTGCAAATTTTATTTTTAACAAACTTTCAATGAGGTGTTTTACAGATTTGAAATAAACTATTTTTTTTGTTAATTTACGAAAAAGTTAGTTGTCGGTACATACCTTCCTGCCAACAACTTCACATTTTCTTTGGTTACAATTTGTATTTTTTCAATCGCCCTGACGCACCCTTACTCTCCGCCCCTCGGAAGTGATATGTATGTCAAACCAAAGTGCAACGCGACTACTAAGGCACTTCCTACACAGCTCAAGTGTTTGTCAAGAGCCCCAGTTTGAGGCCAATGTCGACAACGCCCCTGGTCGCGGAAGCTTGAATTAGAGATAAGACAAGGGCCGCTAACGTGACGGCAAATTCCAGGTACAACGCGTAAAGGATCCTAACGTGTCCGTAAGTGGTGGCGACGCCCCCGGCGGCCGTGAAATCCAACGGGAACATGAAACAATCTACGGGATCACGGCCCCGTACAAAGCCGAATAGGATAACCCCCATGAGATAGTAGAATAAAATGGAGACGAAGGGGAACCATTTGAGCCAGCGGGGGCGTTCGGAGGTAGGTACGTCGGAGGAAGTGCCAAAAGCGAGCTGTTGGAGGCGGACGGCCCCAAGATTGCCCATGTTGAGAATGAGGAGGAAGTGAAGGGGGATCCCGATGGCTGAGAAGAGTACGGCGGAGCCGCGGCCAAGCGCAGTCCGGGGCACAGGGGCTCCAAAACCTGAAAAAACGACGAAATAATAATAAGTTATACTTATTTACGGGTGATTTTATACAGCTGCTGTAGCAGCAGCACAGATAAAGCATTTTTCTAGAAAAATATTACCTATAATACAGTTACAAAATTACAAAAAAGTGAATTTAAATTATACAACACACATCACTTCATTGACATTTTAAATTTAAAAAATGTACAAAGTGACGCCAACCTTGAATTTGTTAAGTAACTACTAATTAGTACATAAATAAGTAATATACCGTGCGATCAAAAAAAATATATTAGAGTAGGCGGTGATTAAAATCTTTCAGATGACAATCCTGATTTTTGACATCAAATGTCAGCGGAAACTTTGACAAGTTTGCGTTTTATTCCTTTTGAGTGAAATAATGTTCACTTCAGAGCAGAAAATTTTTATTGCTGTACAAGAGGAAAACGGTGGTTGGTCATTTTCACTTTCAGTTTGTAGTAGTGTGGAAAATTTCCAGCCCAGATTCCCAGCCAATGTGTTGCCAACTGTAGTATTTAATCGATGCCTACTCTAATTTATTTTTTATTTGATCGCACGGCATAAAATAAATGTCATTAAATTAAAATGTATTAATAAAGAGGATAGTTGAACTTTAACTGTTACTTTAAATTTTGTTTCTGACAAGCTAAAAAGAGCTCTGACAAGCTAAAAAAAAAGAGAATTATTAAAGTTATAACTCTCTCTAGTGGTGAGTTGGTGACTCTGAGAGTTTAAAAAGCCCCTGGATGAATTGGCGCGGAAAATATAAATTTAACCAAACATATTTTAAAAACATAATTATAAAAGAAAACAGTTTTTTTCTAAAAAAATTTTTTCCAAATAGTTTCATAAAATGGCTAGTAATAAACTGCTAAGTTTAAACAATACTGATTTCCTAAGTGAAATAATCTGAATGCTAAGTATTAAAATATAAGTATTACTATTTATTATTATTAAGTATGGTGATATTTCAATACCAAACAACTACCCACAAACATTGGAAGGCATAATATAGCGTTTAATTTTTTCCTTCAAAAAATTGGTCTTTTTATTTTCAAATTTATTAAAGATAGTTTTTGTGGCTTCGTAATAAATTTATTTTTGTAGTAATTAGCGATAATAAATCAATGTTTCGACTCATGTACTTTCGTTTCGTTCAATAAACGTTTTGACGTCACGCCGCGTGCAAGAAATTTAACAAAACATTTTAAATTTGCATAATATAAACTTGGCGTGATTCTCTCGGACAATTACATCGAGCTTTCGAAAAAACAATCGATTGTAATTTCTTTTTTGTTATACAATCGATGAATCAATTTTAAACATACCGAGAGTTGTCAATAAAGACACGGCAAAAAGGATGCATCCAGGATAAGTCCAAATGCTTCCTCCACCTCCTTCTCCAAAACCGGCACTCACAGCTTCTAAAATATTCGTTTCATGCTTTTGCAAATATTTATCGATTGTGAATTTCCAATTTTCACGTGGCGTCTTCTCCAATTCGCTGGCTAAGTTCGCAGATAGATTGCGTTGGAGTTTGACTAAGTTTTCGGATTGTGCGAGTTCTCGAGGCCCTGAAACGATTTTTTAACCACAATGAGATTAACTTCTTAGTTTGGAATAAAAAAAAAAAGATTTTAACTAATATTAGTCAAGCTGCAAACTTTTCTACTAAGAAAACTCTACAGAAAATATCTAAATGCTTTGTGTAGTGTGGAAATTTTCTAGGGTTTGTATCTTATGCAAACAATGTTCTACGAGTAATGTATCATATGTTTAAACAAAAGTGTCAGAGTACAAGGTTTGTATTTTTATGTAAGTATTTAATTGAAAATCACAATAATTAATTTGGTTACTCAACTGGTCATCTGAGAATCAAGATTGTCGAAGCGAAAGTGTAATTAAATGACCATTACAATACTAAAATAAATCTACAATTTCCTTAATTACACGAGTCGTTTAATTACCTCTGCACGTGTCATTAATTATAATGAATGAAACACAACTCTTACCCTCGGTTTTGTAAAAAGCGAAGGCACCCAGCAAGGCCCATAGCACTACCACGATAGTGAGCCCCACCTGGGACAGCACCCATTGACTTATGATTCGACAGCAGCAAGTCAGTCCCACTTTACTACAGCAATTTTCTTCCGGAGCACATTTAAAATCGCAGTTTTTCGGCCAAAACCTGAGTCTGTATGGAATAAGGGGGGAAGTCTGGACGGAGGCGTTTGTGAATTTGTTCTTGTAGTTGTTGGCTTCGAGATTGATTTGATCAATGTCGACACAAGCATCACCCGGTTTCATTCTATTGTTTTTGGTTTCTGAAAAATGGGTTATTTAGCGTTAATGAGTTACGAAAGCCGACCATAAATTTAATTGTGGCACGCTTGCGTATGTTTTAACATGATACTTGCTTAATGATACCCAAAATGAAAACAGAAGGATCATTAGGTAATTAACTGTTGTATTATGACTAGGTATCTGTACGGAAAGATATTTATGACTGTAATTGATAACTCACGATTGAAATGTTATTTAAACTTGACTAAGAGAAAAATTATGCACGGATCCTATTTTCAAAATTTTCAAATTGTTAATTTTTTGATATTTGAATGAAAGTTTGGAAGAATAGAAAATAAATTAATTTTTTGTATCAGAATAGAAGAATATTATTTGGAGATGTTTATTTCTATTTTTGAAGAAAAAAATGTTAATCTCCATTTTTGTCACATTACATAGACACCAACTGTCTAAAACTAAAATCAATTTAAAATAGCTTGGTGATTTGATATTCAAGCAGAATAGTTTGGTATTTTGATTTTGGCACACAACAGGGCTGTCCAGTGCAACAAGTCAAGGACACATCCACACACAAATTTCGTGCCAAAAACACTCTCTTACCGTTCCTCTTGTCCAGCTTTCTCTCAACTAGACCTCAACTATGAATAATTGATTCATAAAACTGACAACAAATATTATCGAACGAAAAACTTCCCCATCAGTCTTCGACCCGACACACCTGTACCCACCTTCATTCGATTCCTCTTTCAGCTGCTTATTTAATTTATTTTTCCTCGGCGGTTTTTCCGGTGGCTTTTCCATTCTTTCAAAATCCATACTATCAAAATTCGGAGTAATGATAGTGGTAACACAACGATCCACCGGTTCGTACATTTCGATTATCTAAAATTAATCTTCTTGAAATTAATTTTTAAGTTGGGAATCGCCCGAAATGTGCACATTTTTTCGAAAATTATATCTTTAGTGGATGTTTTGAGGCCACTGGGGCCTGGGAACGACGCGCTTCATCGCGGTGAGACAGCGTGTCGGCGTCGCGACGCTTCTCTTTACACTGTTTTTGCCGCACCACGACTGGGAACGGCGGACGCGCCTCCGCCAGGCCACCCCTAATTGTTATCAATGGCAAAGTCTTCTGCAATGCAAATGCTTAATCAACGAGTAAATGACGCTAATTTTAGGACTATTGGGGGAAATTGATCGTTATTCTTGCTTGGGAATTGATTACTCTGGAGGCAAAGGCGTAATCAAATTTTATTTCGATTCACTTATCACAGTTGAAGGGATATTGGATAATAATAATGCGATAACAATTTAGATGATAAGGGATCTGTTGACACTGTAGAGGAAAGTGGAATAAAATAAATGTGAATAAAATTGAATTTTTACAAATGTATTTTGGTCAAATTAATAACGGTAAAATAGAAATGGATTAGAAAACCTTTATTTATTAAGTAAAAAGTTATACTTAAAAATTCTTTGAAACATTTTATCAACCATACAAAAGGTTTTTCAACTATACAATTTTTTTAATACTTTATTGTTGTTAATCCTGTATGTTTTTTCTAGTTACCTACAATTTATATTCCACCTTCCTCTAACAGTTTATCATCATTATTTTATCAAAACTTTACAACTGTGCATAGGTTTACTCATTGTTACATTATTTTAGCAAATTTCTACAATTGTAGACGCTATATTTCCATTCTTTTCAATGAATGCTCTAAAAATAGATTGATTTATATCACTTGTTTACTCTTTCATTCTGTTTTCGCCGATGCTAAGGGAAAAAAATACGCGAGAATGTTACAGTTCTCAAATATAGCGAAATTTATTGATGGGGCTTCCAGTTCAAATCGATTTAACACAAAAAAAACAGCAATGATTTATTTTCTCCCATTTATCATTGCAAAACAGTAGCGTGTATAAGCACTATCATTCAAATAATTTGCAGTTAGAGGGTTGCGACATGATGTAGTTGTCTAATTATAATGCGTCTACTTGGAAAATTAGTCCAAGTCATTCAACTTATTTCAGTAATCGATAGTTTTGTAGTAATTGTTTGATACTTGGATCAGATGAGCAACGAATCACGTCTCGGGAAAATTCCGTATGATTATTGATTTGTCACTGCGGCCATTTTCCCGCATTCTGTAAGTTTTCTTTACGCATTTCCACCACTAGGGTGTGCCACCGTGTCATTTTTCTTACACAATGTGAAAATATAATTCCAAGTAAGTTTCCAGAGAAGAATTTTCAAATTTTGACTTCCTGACAGTTCTTCCAGTTGCCTAATGTGATAGAAATATTCCTATAAAATTTTTACAATACTTAAGATGCCATGTATAGACTCAGATATAGATTAAGGATTCTGCTTCCGCCTTTACTCGTCGGAATTTTGATTACTTTGACTGTTATTGTGATAAATAACGGTTCACTTCTTCGCCATGTCTTTTACAACTACCAAATTCATTTTCATGGAGTACCGGGGAGTTACTTGTCCACGAAAACACCAAATGAGAGTTACTGTAACTTCAGGTATGGTTTACCTGAGGAACTTTTATACGAAGAAAGTGATTTAATTGTGCCATTTGAAGAAAAAGATAAAAGTCCATACCGCATTCTTCAAAATGTGATTGAAGCCAAATGGGACGAAACAGTATCGGAAGTTACCTATGTCACACATTCGACAGCGGATTTTATCAATTACATTGCAGAAATAATCAGGTAAAAGCCCCCAATTTTGGCAAAAATTGCATTTTTTCTTACAGATTTTGGGAAGGCCCGATTAGCGTTGCCGCTTTTGTACCGGATTCCGACGCCGATTTAACAATCCGGCAATTGACACAATTATGTTTCTGTGCCCCTGAAATGGGGCGAGTAGCTGTTCATTTTGTATTTCCTCTCAAGGAGCCCCCATATTTGCAAAACCATCAAGACAAACTTACTTGCGAGCTTCCTGACTCGTCAAAATTGGCCACTTTTCGGATGAGCAACGAGCTCATGTACCCCATCAACATATGCAGAAACATTGCTCGGACTTACTCACAAACTGATTTTGTGATGGTCACTGATATCCAGCTTATACCAAGCGAAAACTTGGCTTCGAGATTCATCAAAATGGCAAAATTGTTACATTTGAAGAAAAGTCCGTCCCGCGTTTTCGTAGTGCCTGTGTTTGAAGTTGAGGCTTATGATGTCATACCGAGGACGAAAGACGAACTTATGATGATGGTGAAAGAGGAAAGAGCGGTTTATTTTCATAGATATACTTGTTCCCATTGCCAGAAATTTCCAGGGATTAAGACCTGGCTCGAAAGTGCCAGCGGTGACACCATTAAGGTATTTAAAACTGGGATAAATCTTTTTTTAACTTGCAATTGTAGCCCTTTGTATCCGTCAAAAGAGAGTACCCTTTCCATCGCTGGGAACCCATTTATATAGGAAGTAAAACAGACCCTTTGTACAGTGAAGTCTTATCTTGGGAGGGATTACAAGATAAGATGACTCAGGTTGGGTTCAAAAATTAAGGATTTATTCTAATTATAACTTTTAGATGTTGGAAATGTGCCTTATAGGATATCAGTTTATTATTTTGGATGGCGCATTCCTCGTTCACTGGCCCGGGATTAAAAAAGAAAAACATAAATTTTACGTAAAAAATTTTTGGCGGATGACTTTTCAGCAGGAAAATTCCAAACACTACTCAAGAATTATCAAGGAATTGCGAAGTAAATATGAAGATAATCCTAAGTGCAAGCTGCAATAAATCAAATTGTTGAGTTAGACTAACTTAGCCAAAGCATTAGATTAGTTAATTGTTGCTGATATGAGCCAATTAGAGTTTTGTTAAAGTTGAACCGACCTGTGATCATGCTTATTTTGACAAATAAACCGAACAAGGAAACGATATTTAAATTTTAATCAAATTACGCGCTTTATTTTGTAGCATTTCAAAGTTATGCCATCTATTTTATCGACTAGTCCGCTTCAAGCTTCCCTAATTGACCATAGTGTCATTTCTTTCTAACATGGGTGAAACGAGAGAAAGAGCAATAACCGTCGTGTTATTTACGTTCGTTGACATTTCCCGCTCTAACCTAACATTCTAGAAACATCAACAATTTAAAGGTATCGGTGAAATCAGTGTTAAATCGTCGAAATGCAGCCTGTAAAGAGGCTAATTGAACAACAAACCGGCTTAGGTAACACATTTTGTTTATAATTCTACTCTCAAGTTACAAAAAGTTTGCTTTTTAGGCCGGTGGAAACGTTATGATGAGATAGTTAAACGCCTTCGGTGCCCCAAAGACGACGAATACACTCAGTTATTGCCCTCAGAAGACGTTATTTGTGATACTCCAATTTTTGCTTGCAAATTCGCCCAACAAAAATCCAACGAAAACTTCCTGGCCCTCGCCAACGAAGACGGCAAATTGGCCATCCATGATACCAGCAAGAAGCAGGAACCTTACGGTGTTCGAGCTCACAACAATGCTATTTTCGACCTGTGCTGGATGTTCGACAATATGAAAATCGTAACAGCTTCAGGGGACCACACTGCGAAACTGTTTGATGTAGCGGAGGCCGATGTGAGGGAAATTAGGGCTTTTTTTGGCCACACTCGCTCAGTTAAAACCATAGCTTTTCGTAAAGACGACTCGAGTGTCTTCGCGACTGGGGGGCGTGATGGAAATATTATAATTTGGGACACGCGGACCTGTGGTGGGAGTTTAATTGGAAAAGTTGATAGGACGATTTTTAATTCACACAATACTAAAACGCCGATCAAGGCACGCAAAAAATGCACGTGTTTGAGCCCCTCGAGGGCGTCGAATGCGAAATCAGTCACGGGTTTGGTGTTCCAAGATGATAATACGTTGATTTCTTGCGGGGCCGGTGATGGGGTTATTAAAATTTGGGATTTGCGAAAAAATTATCTTTTTTATAAACACGAACCGTTGCCGAAGAACAAAATTCCATATGGGGGCACTACGACAAAGAATGGCTTTAGCAGTCTTATCATCGATAGGGATTGTATCAGATTGTATGCCAATTGTTTAGACAATACAATTTATAGTTATAATGTTGGTACTTGTAATCCTGAGCCTGTTATGAGGTATACGGGGCACCAAAACAGCACTTTTTATATTAAAGCATCTCTAAGTCGTGATGGTAGTTATTTGATTAGTGGGAGTAGTGACGAGAATGCTTATATTTGGAATACTAGCTATTCAAGACCTTTAGTTCGATTAACCGGACATGTGGCGGAAGTCACGTGTGTGGCATGGTGTGAGAGAGATGATCTGACTTTAGTCACATGTTCTGATGACATGTCACACCGGATTTGGCGAGTCGGTCCGGAGGAATTACCGGAAAATTGGGAAATAGACGGGAGTGGCAAAGCCGAAGTATTGCCTCTAATTCCGGTGCAATCAGAACTTAAAAGACCATCTGATGAAGTGGTCTCGTTTCATAAAAAATTAATAGTTGCTTGTAAAAAGTGTGATAGCCCCTCTACGAGTAGCGTTTGTCAAAACTGTTGTTCCAACAAACGTAAAGTTGATCAAGAAATTTCCAACGAAACTAAAAGGTTTCATGGCGAGTTAGGCCCGAGGCGACTTTTTCAAAATTTGGAAAACAATGATGATAAATCGTTAACTATGAATTTGCCTAATTATGTAATAGACGGTGTAGCTCCTCATTTGAATTTTTCACCTCCCAAAAAAAAGGATCAAGACTGGTTGACAAAATTGCGTACCGAGAGAAAGTTTAAACGAGATTTTGAAACGGCGTCGACTTCTACGCCTCCAAAAGTGGCCAAGTTGGAGTCGACTCCGAAGAAGTATTCCTCGCCTAGAAGCCCACTTTTGAGGTTTTTTAAAGTTAAGTGTGAAGGGCATTCGTGTACGAAGCCTCATTCGAATTGTAATGTTTTATCTCCGAGTACGCAGTCGAGTCAGTAGATTAAGTGCACAATGTATCTCATATTTTAAGACTTTTGTATTCTAGTTTTAGGCGTGAATTGTTTTTATTCGAATTTATATTATTCTATATTCTTGTTCGAATTAATAAAAAATATTATCTTAACTGTTCTTTTTTATATGGGAAATTCGGGGACTGAAACAAGATACCTATTACCTAGTAGGGGTAAAACGGTTATTGAAGGAAAAAGAAACACTATTTTGTGATGAGCAATTAAACATTGTTGAATGTTTAATTGACTCTAAATTTGGCGATTAGTTTTATTGTTTTATAGGGGCATGTTTTTATGTATTCACTTATGCCGTATGTGCTACCCAAATTGAAAATAGCTCAAATTGCGTTAGTTTTGAAGAAATACGATCTACAACAATTTCTCACATCATGCGCAGTCAGTGATAGTAAAAATGTAGCATAAAATGTTTCTAAAAACGATGCCACAAAGAGTAGTTTGTGTAACTGAAAACAGTCGCACAAAATGCCGATTATGTCACCGAAATACATCAAAAAATGCTTTTGTATACGCTTTTTTTTACTTATGATTTGTTCACTTATTTGTTCTTATGCTCTTTCTTTTTATTATTATGCTTTGCGTTCTTATTTGCTTCTATGATCTCTCTCTTTCTCTCTCTCATGTTTTAAAGTTTGTGCTCTTATGGGCCCGCCATTTTTTATTGCTAATTTGAATTAGTATTTCAATTTAAATTAGTGAAAAATTGCTGACTTGAGCGGGGTTCGAACGCCGGACAATGTCGGAAAGCGGGACTTTATGCCGTTACACCACTACGCCGCCGACAGTCTTAATGCTTTAATTCAATATACAGGGTGTGTCAGAACTCGCGGTCCAGAGAAAAATTTCAAATAAGATAAGATACCAGGAATGGGAAAATGTTTAAAAAATTCTATCTGGCAAAAAATTTTGCCATTTATTTTTTGACATTTGTCTTTTTTATGTCTGTTTAGTGATACTGATGATCTTGTATATGTTTTTTTATAACTATTTAATAAAAATTTTAAAATGTTACCAATAAAATCTACAAATAACAATAAACAGAGTTATAATTTAAGATACAGCTTCCTTGTTTCCTCTTCTAATAAGCTGTAGCAGAAAAATTGGAAAATAATTTTTCCAACAGAAATAAATACAAGGTGCGCCAGAACTCGCGTCTCAGAGAAAAATGCTATGAAAGGTAAAATACCAGGAACATGGAAAAAATGTTAAAAAAATTCCACCTATAAAAATTTTGAAGTTATGTTATGAGAGTTTAAATTTTGCAATTTGGCTCTATTTATATCTGTTGGAAAAATAATTTCCTATTTTTTTTGCTACATGCTATTAGAAAAGGAAACAAGGAAGCTGTATCCTAAACTGTAACTCTGTTTAATGTTATTTGTGGCTTTACTGGCAAAATTTTTGTACCTTTATTAAATAATTATTAAAAAAAAACCTATACAAGCTCATCACCATCATTAAAAAGACATAAAAAAATGTCAAAAGTCAAAAAATATATGGCAAAATTTTTTGCCAGATCTTACTTAAATTTTTTTTTCTGAGACGCGAGTTCTAACACACCTGTAGAGTTAAAATGCAATGCATTTTAAATTCTCATAACTTCAAAATTTTTATAGATAGAATTTTTTTAACATTTTTTCTGTTTCTGGTATCTTATCTTACATTTTTCTCTGGGGCGCGAGTTTAGGCACATCCTTTATTCATTATAGACTTATACAAAAATTTTCAAAAATTTATTTTTTGCATTTCTACTGTACTTTTCTAAAAGTCTCTTGAACCTCTAAAAGTGCAACTGGTTCAGTTTTGAAGTTTTTAATTTTTCCGATTTTTGTCGAAATTTTGGTAGATTTTCGGTACCCAATTTCAAGAAGAAAGATCAAGAATTTTGCAATTTTTTTCAATGCTAATCGATTTCTCTGAACAGTTTACATATGTATGAATAAAAACATTACAACGTTGGAGGTACAGTTTAGCCGCAAATTACAAATAAAAGTAAAAATTTGTGAATCTTTTGAAGTGATGAAAACCTGGAAAATACAAAATTCGAATATTTAATTTTGTTGTTTCTAAAATATAGATAATTTTAGTTTTATTTCTGCTACAAAATAATTTTGTCTGATTTTGTTCTGGCGGGGGAGTTTAACTCCTCAAAATTTCCCCTTTTCCCAGCAACATACTTTAATTCAGAAAAAAGTTACAACTGATTGAAAAAACTATAGACATTTATCCTAGAATTACCCTACTTTGTGACTTTTCTGTGTGCAAAATTTCAACACGAAAATATAGAGAAGAATCTTATCTGTTGGGCTCTACTCTCACATTACGTAAATTGCATAAATTTTATAGCAGAACAAATAAAACTAATTTCAGTAGGTAACAATTCCAATTCAATGGACTAATAAACGTAATATTTCGGAGATATTATTTTAAGATTGTTTTTATAAAAATAGTGTAAATAACTAGCTTTTGGAAAATTTTTTGTTTCGGATTTGAATTTATAGAATGTCAGAACTGCTAACAAGTTTTGTGAGAACAAAGGACGTCGTTAGCAAAGTTGGTACAACTGGACGCGTCCGTAATTGGATATCGGAGACGTGAGCCATACGCGTTTAAAAATAACGAGCCGGGGGTCACTCGAAACTGCCCCAAATTTCATTAAATCTCGAAGAAAATTTGTTGTTTGTTTAAAAATGGCACGGTTCACCCTCCTATTTATTTTTATTGTAGTTTGCGATATCGGTATGTTTGGTGATGTCTGGGTTAGAGGAGCGTGTTTTTCCACTTATTGAATCAATTATTGTCCGCTAAGGGTTGGCAACAACGTTAGCAAGTTGGAAAACCCCGAAAACAAAGAAAAACTCGTGTGTTTAAACGAAAACTGCTGACGGCTTTATTCCTTTTTACAAAAATCCGTTGATGATTATTATTTCTTCCTAATTAATTTCATTAAGCCGCCCTCTGGTTTTTCGATATAAAAAAGTGCGCACGTTGTGAAAACAGTTGACACGCGGCTCAAACAACACACTGTCGGGATAACGTAACAATCCACGTTTCGGTTCTTGTTACCCTATTGTTACAGCGTCCTAAATCTAAATAAATAGCAAATAATTAAAGGTCTAGGGGCCCTCCCGTGGCGATAATCCGTCCAAAACGTGAATCGAGTTTCTCTCAGAGTTCGAAAATCTGGATTTTGACGCCGAAATGACATTTCTTTGTGGCCAAAAATCGACTTTTCGGCTTACATTGTCTGCAATTTGGCGTCATTGTGCACGACGGGATTTGGTTTGGATGCGCTGAAAAGGTAATAATTAACAAAGGCAACACCACGTGTTTGCTTGTAAGCTCCGTGGCCAATGCGAAATGTCACTAAGGCGAAATAAATGGAGGTGTTTGTTGTGCGGACTTTGTGTTTCGCCGACGACGCGAGATTTTAACGAGATGTCTTAATCTCGAAAATACGAAAAATCTCCAAAACTGAAACTGACAGCACGTACGAGTGAGGTTTACGATCTCTAACGTTTCTCAAATCAATAAAAACTAGTAATTATAGTGCGTAAACCAACAATGTTTTATTGCACATAAAATCCCACTGTAAATCAGAGTGACTTATGTCCGGTTCGGGGAAAAACCATTAACAATTCATAACGATTTGGGAATGAAGAATTCAACAAATAAATTATGACGGAAAGACGGATGCTTCACACAATATTTTCATGTTTAACGTGGATTGTTTGATATGTAACGGCTTAAAAACTGTCTTATTTACAGTGATTTACAACACAAAGTCGTTAAATTGTTATTACTATTTTCACATGTTGCCCAACATGCATGGAGGGAAAAAATGTTTAAGTGAAAGATGCAAGTTTAGATAAGCAACGGTAAAAATCTGCACCTTAAAATTTATTCGGTTATTTGGTAGTAATAGTAATACTAAATAAAAATTTTCATCAAAAACCTAAATTAAAAAAAAGAGATTGAACTTTTTATGTACCCTAAAAACATTAAAATCAGAAGAAATTGAGTTTTGACGAAATTATATATTGGTATCAAGCCTCTTGAGCGTAATATGACATTGAAAACTCAAAAATATTATTTATTTTTACCTATTTTAAGCGATTTTAAATTTTAATGTTGTATAAATAGTATTATTAATAAGAATTTTTTTGATCTGTTTAATATTTCACATTTATAAGTAGGTACTTTGTCACCAGCAAGAAGATTTTTATATTTTTTTATAGTTGAACTCAAAAATTATGTTGATGTTAAAGTTGTATACCTATCACGAAAAAACGCCCTACCAATTTTGTTTTTTCTGGTAATTGACTAAGATGGTAAATGTACTCTTACAGGGTGTGCTATTATTGTCCTCGTTATACAATTTTTTGAATGAGAGCTTTATTAAAGCCCATCCACCCCGTCTTAGTGAGAGCTTGTTGGTTCCACATGACACCGTTTGGGGAGAGTATAAGCCGCTCATTACGCGGACATAACCCACCTGGTCTCGTGTCACACCGAATCGGTAAATTAGGCTCAACATTGACAAGTCGACACCTTCCATACTCTTGCACTGAATCAAATAAAGAGTACACGACAATAACACGAAAAGTAAAAATGTAACCCTGCAGGGAAGAAACGATTCTCAATAGTTAGATAATTTACGACGGTGCCATAAAGTTGACCATGGAGATAACAATGTGGCCAGGAAAAATAGGGCAGATGTCACTCATATTTTTTCTAACAATTTGAATTTGGGTTATTTGCAGAGACCAACTGATCTGATGTAAAATTGAAAGTAGTTAAAAAACGTGGCTATTTTTTTGACTGTCTATTGGGTTTACAAAGCTTTCGGAAGAAATTAAAAGGATTCAAACACAAAACTTTTTATACCTGAAAGCTGCTAAACCACGTAACAAAGATGTAACTCGTGCCAAAAGCTCGTCCGTTTCCTGTCGTAGCAGCTGTGACGCAAACAATCTCACAATTACTCGTCTGAATTTCTTAAATTGGTCCAAAATGGGAGCCATTCATCCCAACACCGATCCTAACACAAGTCAAAATATCGTGAGAAGTGCTCCACACATGCGGGTGCTTGAAT